CCTCAAATACTTCATAACTGTTAGTATTATTACGTTTATTTGTTAATAGATCCGGAAAGAACAGATGAATCTTTCATTAAAAAATATTGTCCAACTGTTGAAAGTCTAATGTCTGGAATTCACTACATACGAATAACTGATCATTTGAAGTTATTAGCTGTTTGTCGACATTTAGAACAATTTTGTGACCAACATCCTTTGGTAAATTATTATTATTATGTATATGGTCTTAAATGTGTTGAATTTATTCTATTATCTATGGATGGAAGTGATTTATCTCACAAGTTAAGGCAGTCTATACTACTTTTGTATTAGAATATGCCGATGGATTCTCATGTGTCAAACGTTAAACTTAGTGCGAAACAACAACCGACTATAGTCGGTATTTTAATATTTTTTGAATAGTATATGCAGCAAATCGTGCTGATATAAAAATAACCTAAACTACTAAACAATTTGTTTAGTGTGTCTATTTGAAAGTTTGGTTCGTATTACTACTTCTACGTGAAGTGAATAATTCTTTCCAGTTACATACCAAGTATTATTCTAATATTTCTTTAGTTCAGTGAGATTTAAGACATTGAAGTTATTCGTATTTAAATTAGGGGAAATTACCAGTTGAAATATCAAGAGAGAAAAATCTATTCGGTGAAGAGGTCCTTTACTTTCCAAGGAAATTCATCAACTCTGATATAACTGATGTTTATTGATCTTAATTCAGATTCGATTGATTGTGGTTGACAGTATCGCTCTCCCGTTTCGTTACGATTTTGACGATATTCCTCAGCGTAATAGATTATTGGCAAGTGTAACACAAATGTTGCTCTGCGTTGCTGGGCGTCAACAAGCTGCGGTAAGTCATCTCAATATTTATGGTATATCCTTGACGAATTTGTTATTCTAGTCTCATCCCAGTAAATAAATATACACTATGGTATATTGGATTATTTTATATGATTTTTTATCTTAAATATTTTGATTATCGTTTTAATTATCAATCTAGTTAGGAAGAGTAAATACTCAACTTCCAGTGAGTGAGTTACACATTCAGATACTGCTCCACTTATTCTTAAAAATCATTCCCACAATAAGATATTATTCATGCCTTAGTCACCTTGTTCTGTTAAATTGATGTTTAATTAAAATATAATACGTCCATGGTCACCATTCTTTAGTGTTTCTTCACTATTATACATTTATTTGTTTAAACTACGGAAAGGTACTTTTCTTTACCACTTGTTACGTTAGAGAGAACGGCAATTACATGAAATGTTGATATGCGTGATTTGTGTGTCATAATTGTGCTACTCATGAGTAACTACGTTTTTATCAAACAATTTTCATCCTTTCATTTCTTTGTTTATTCGTAAACTAACTTCCCGTCCGGTTATATTGAGCTAGCTAGCTTTGTGCCTATCTATGCTGAGAGTTGAAAGTTGTTGCTGAGTTAGTCACCTTCAGTGAAAGTTTTAACGTAAGCTAATTACTGTAAAACCACTTATTGTTTATGTGTTCATACACGAACATCTTGAAAAATCAAGAGTTTTCTGACTGTGATCGATCTCAAGTAGAACTGATAGTGTTAATTAATTAACACTTACCACTCATAGCATCCGCCTGATGAACGGATTTGAAAAGAAAAAAAAGAACTGACTAGCGAAGGAAGTAGTTTCCCAGTGAAATGGAAAAATGACATACAAAATATAGAGTACGAATAGCATTTATACGTAATTGTCACTTTAAACGTAAACAATTGTAATGTACGGGTTTACTTTATGTCGTCTAACAACGAGTAGAACTTAAATATCCGATTACCAGGCTAAATTTTTACTCGTCATATCGAGTCGTTATTTGGTTGATTGGCCCCGTTTCGTAACTAAAACAAATCTTCGGAGATGTTTTTGCTTTTAAATTCCTCCCAATAAGTTATACATCTTTTTTTTACATACAAAAGATTGACAATTAATATTTGGACTTCTCAGCTGTTTAACGCATTACTCGTTTGATTTAACGTATATTATAGTGCGTTTAATCTATATTGATGTGGATGGATTCATATGTAACAATCATGTTTCACTGTTGGCTTTAAGTGAACATCCATATCAGATGTTTGGAAATACAACGCTTTACTAGCGTATTTTTGTTTCTCAAATAAAAATGACTTACAAAAATAGGATTTCTACTTAGTTTATTTAATTCACTCTGATTACATTTAGTTTATGATTTTCAGGTTATTCTTACAAATCAAATTACAACTAAATTCGATGCGAAAGATTTGAATTCAAAACAATTTGATTGTATCATAGAAGAGAAAGTTGTAAAAGAACAATGCAGAAACGATCAAAATTCATATCTAGTACCTGCACTTGGAGATAGTTGGGGGCATATTTGTTCTCTCCGTGTTTTCTTGACACGTTTAACTACAGGTATTCGTCAGGTAACACTGCTGAAACATCCTGGAAGACCATATGGTGTTGGGTATTATCAAATTACAGTAGGTTAACATAATATTTTCTTGGATTATTAGTGCTTGTAGTAGTGTTGAGACATAATTTTGTAGATGTAGCGGAACTTTATATTTATTAACAAACAAACACCTGTATAAAGTTATGCTACACTTATTCTTATAATCTATCAATACTTTTTTATACCAAACACTGTTGTGATGGCTTCCTCAGTGATGATTGGTATTTATTGATCAAGGAAAAAATGTGATAAAGTAACCGAATAGAAACTTTTTATTCACTAATATCAAATATATAGCGTCATTATATGGTATTATTGTTTCTTCCAACAGTCGAATCTCACTTCATCTTGCTGTTCACATTAAGAATTATTACTCCTCTTTTTGATGTAACTCATTCATAAAGTATACGTTTGAGTATTTTGCTTTGAGTTACTTTTTTGTGAGAGCTAGTAATAGTGCGTGTGGCGGGATTCAAGTTTAAAAAGTAGTTGAAAGACGAATGCCATGATCACACTAAAGCTACTGTTTCGCTATAGTTTTAAGAAGTGACAGATTAAAACTAAATCGCGCACTGTACATGAAAAAATCACATAATGCGAATATTAAAAAAGCGACTAAACTAAAAATTGAAATGTGAAAAACTCAATTTATTTTGCGTATCTGTTCTCAGTATAGCAAAATTATATGCATTGGATAATTTCTAAATGCTTAAAGGTTTATGCACAGTTACTAACTAATTTCTACATAGAGGGTAACGTGATGTAACGACATGAGCATATATATCTTTGCGAATTGAATTTCATATTGATGCTTTTCTATCAAACAACGATTACATAATAAGTAGAATTGTTCTTTATCTCTTGTTATTAATTAAAATAACAAATAGTTATTATTCAACAATAAAAACATAACATTTCTGAATAATCTACGTACTGTGATTATTTTTCTATGAATACACTTTAATACAACATCCTCATTGTATTTTTTCCTTATGTTTTCAGACTGGTGGTATTCGTGATCTTGTTCAAAACAATAAATGTAATAAACACTTGCCAGAGTAATCAGTTTTGTTTTAAAGAATACAAATAGCTAAAAAAAGACAATATTTCATTTTTGCTTCCCGAATCACACTCTGTTGACAACAAAGACACTTATTTTCTATTTCTACTCTCGAGGGTCTATGCGTCTAATTTAATGGTAGTGAAGAGAAAAAACCAAAACACAATTTCATATTATATATGTATTTTTAGTCTGCTGAGTGATGCTTGTACTATATCTCTATATGCAATCTTTCTCTTATATATTACCACCTTTCACCTAACCACAGTTATGAATCCGGTGTTCATCTTGTTGTGTTGATGCGGTATGGCAACCTGGACCGATGCACATATGTGCCTGGTCCTACGTTGTAGCTGACTGACTGACTGATGAAGGCGACTAAAGAGGTAAAATAATTCCGCTTACACATAAATATAAGATTAAAAGACAAAACCTGAGCATGAAGTACGTATCATCATCATAATTAAAAAGAATAAATTAACAAATATGGTAGCTAAACTTGTTTACATCACTAGTTACGTGTTATATAACTATCGTTGACTTATAACTTCTACCATTTCATTCAGTATACATGTAATAACTCATTGGATTGCTTGAAAATACTTTTATTAAATATATTATAATAAATATTTTTGTAACAAAAAAGGCAATTAGGGAATATTTGAAAAGTAGGGAGGCAAGAATTTAATCGACATTTTTACTGATTTTTGTATGTAGCATGTCACAGATCGTTAATTTTGACACTCAAATTAAGTAAGAATTCAAGAGTAGACATCGATAAAAGCGGAAAGTCTTAATATAAATACAATAATGACATACATAAGCAAATATATAAATGTCTATATCATTGATAACCAATTGATTATTGTTTCCATTAGTTCTATAAGTATAGTGAACTTTAAAATGAACATGAAGGTTATTTCACACCAGAATAATACTATTATAATGAATGTTGATTGGAAAATAAGTAGAACAATTAGTTGTATACAATCGAATTGTGTTAGATATATAAGAACAAGAAAGCGAAATTCATCACATCAGCAAATACACACACAAAAACAAGAAATTATTTTTTATAAAAACAAAATCACTTACATAATAATCTCTATCAGCCTGAGTTGAATTCGGCCTGGAATATCCAACTATACGTCAACTTGTCAAGAGATTCATCGGTTAATATTAATAAATGAATTATTAATATTTAAATAAATACAATCGAAATCGAATAAAGATAAAACCACAAAAAAGCAACACGACTAGATTATCACATTTATTGAAAATAATAACTATATTGGTGTATTTCTTACAATGTAAATGTTTAATTCTCATAGTAGATATTTTCCTTATTATGAATATATTCATTTTCTATTGGAATGAATTGTAAGAGAACAACATTTAATGGAAATAGATCAAAATTCTAAACAATAAATGTGAGAAACCGATCAACGGATAGAAGACTAACGGAAAATAATAATTAAAGTTCAAATTCTTTCTGTGATAATCTCAATCTAGCTGTTTTTAGATCTGATAAGCTTTCGTTATATGTAGTTGCTTGTAATAATGGCTCAGATATATCTTTCGATGAAAGTGGTTGACGTCCACCTGTTACAACTGTTGTCAGTGGTTGCGTTGTAAGGTGTTGATTAGTGATTGTTTTCTGTTGAGAATTTTGTTTATTAATAGATGATTGAGAATTAGTAAATGAAGCAGATTTTGATTGATTATCAAGTGTGTTTTTAGATTTACGTTGTAATGTATTAATTATAACTGGATCATTTAAAGAACACATCGGTCCTTCATAAGTCATTGTTTCAAGTCGGGGTTCTGAAATGAATGTAGTTGGCTTTATGGATGTAATGTTCGATTGTAAATGTTGTTGGTGATGTTCAAAAGCGGTGGAGAGATGTTGACTATCGAATTTAGTAAACTTCAGGTGACTAGTTGGGATTGTTTCTTTACTATCTTCCTTGATGATGCAATTTTTATCTAAATAAAAGTATTAGAATACTAGTGTCAGAAATTAATTAATTTAGTTACACGCAGGAGAATATTATCATATGTTCCGTCCGGTAACACAAAAGATGGAAAAAGATCAAGCATAAGTTTTGAGTTAGTAATCCATTTTAGGCCCCCGAATCCCTAATACGGTCGAGAGTGAGGAAGATCCGCTCTCATTAAGTTGCGCACATAAAGTCATTAGCAGGGAAATCTTACTCATTGCCTTTTCGTGGTGGGGGTGCTGTTTACTAAATTGAGAGGATGAAAAGCGGATGTCCGGAGTTTTAACCGGCTTGGTGGATACGGACGCCTACCTAGCGGCGTCGGAAAACCCTGATTCCAAACTAATGGTGCAGATGGGCTCTAGGATCTTAAGGGAACAAATGGTGTATGAACCTACTCCTGGTCACCGGATACCATGAGGATGCATCCCGAACGTTGCTACACTACCTTATGGATTAGGCCTCTAGGTCAGGATCAGGGAATGCCCCTTAAAAAAACTAAATGCTTCAATTTGGGGACCCGGATAGTATCCAAGCCTGTACACATTCAAAGATTTGTATGAGGCATGGATATTGTGGTTCCACTTTATGCTAGTTTTTGTGTTTAAAATATATAAAAAGTGATTCATTTGAAATTAATTTACATTATGAAGTGAAGTTTAATGATATACTATGGGAAGTTTTTCGTCACCTAGAATAAAAGTTATTCAGATGTAAACTGATATCTCAGACTCGAGACATTCGTCAGTTTAAACAAGAATCTATGTAGCGTTAAAGAATAAGTACTCAAGACCAATCGAGTTTGTTGTGACAGATAAATAAATAGCCAGTAAAACTGTATTATAAATCAGTGGGAAACAAAAATATAAGTAAGGACCTTGAGCCTTAATGTTTGGAGGGAAAAATTTCCTGAGAAGTAAAATAAGTTTATCAAGTAAGGGTAAACTAATGGATTGTCTAATAGGAAATTCTAAAGAAACCATTTGAGGTCTGATAATGATAAACAACAAGTAGAATCTATTGATTACTATTAGATATATTTACAGCTTGTTTCATTCTACTGTCTTAATCTTTGCATATAATATTTTAATGTATCGCATTGTGACACAAAATATAAGTACCAACTTATTAATTAGACGAGATGTTGTTGCTATTGCACATGTTCATCATTTTTTTTCCTCTTTTGGTTGCTATTATACAAAAGAACGTTTTATGTCACTCATTCTTGAAAGGAGTGCTTTTTTGTATCTTGAAGCTTAAAATCTAATTGTAACTTTATTTCCTCGAAAGAAGAATGTTTCTCATCATTAGCATAGTTTAAAAATGTAATTTTTAATTATTTGGAAGTGCTGTTTACTATGGTAACTTGTTTTTATTTGAAATCAAAGTGAAATTTTTGGAAGTGTCAAGTAAACCTTATCTGTCTCATAATTAATATAATATGTTTCCCCATAAGTTTAGATCTAGACCTTTTCCGTCTTATTGCAACTACTAATGCGTTTATTGAGTGCGATTACTTCAGTCTAAGAGTTGCACCCTGCGAGGTATATATAATCGGAGATTGACCATGGAATAGTATGTGATAAATATTACTCTTCTTGATATATTAATTTAAACAATATGGGATTCTCGCAGTATTTATCTTATTATATACTTCACAACTGTACCATTTCTAGAAATTATAGTTGGAATTTCTCTTTTCGAACCTGTACGGTGATATTTGTTTGCTGCTTTTGTGCTATTTTCTGTTGAGGAACTAATGAAGGTGTTTTGTGAGCAAATTGTTTTGAGTCCACTGAAATTGGAAGTTGTTTTCTTAGAGGGCACTGGTTCAAAGCTGACTGTTTTTGGTTTAACTGGTCTGTAAGAACCGTTTGATAGTTTACCATTGGATGTGACATTGCAGTAACCATTGGTTTGACTGTTGATGAATCCCTTATTCTCTGTGACTTTTGAATCGGAGGCTGCGAATGCAAGTAAGGGGTACGGCCTTTCGAGTCTATCACTTTGTTTTGAATTTTTGGCTTTGTCATGTCTAAGCAGAGAAAAAAAACGGAATGATAGTAATTATTATTCCGATAAGTTTTCAAAAAGAACATCCAATACAACGTGTTTCCCCATGCAATCACAGTTGGATACTAATGCTTTATAAATTATTAAATTAAACCAATACCTTGAAACTACAGTATAATGACAAAATTAATGTTCAAATCGAATCACATGAGGAAGTCGGGTAATAAACCGTGATATTTTAAAATTGCAGATTACAAATTAAATCAGATTTTCAATAATAAACCAGTCTTAATGTTGTAGGATGTTTTAAATAAGGAATAGAAAACAATATTTGTAATTAGGGAACATTTAAAAAAAAACGATTTACTCATTTCTTGGTTGAAAGTAATGTGTTGTTTAATTATAAAATAAGTTTTATATCTGGTAATAATATATTTAGCACTGGTTTATAGTTAAAATGGCGAAATGAAATCAAAATTTTAAAGTTTCTCATATTTTTAAATGTAAAAAGGAAAAAATAGATTTCTTTAAAAACTGGAACCCTAAGAAAATTGATTCAGTCAATATTGATTTTTATTTTCTTATCTTTATTGTATGCTACTGAAAAATAAGAAAGAATGGCTTAATGACCAAAGTATAACTTGTAAGTGCTCAAACTCTACTAAATCCACGTTAGAGGCAGTCACAATGAAGCAAGTTCACGCATTCTTTATCTTTCTCCAGATTTTGAGTTTTAACCTTTTTGAACACAATTTTCAGTCTTTTCTATTATTAATAGTACATAATTTCTATGTCTTTTCCTATTCATCTTGCCATGTTAATAAGGCATGTCCACTTGGGCTGACATACATTTGTGCCAGGTCCTAAGTTGATTATGATTTACTGAATAGATCCATCAGAAAATTGTGTAAATACAAAATTTTTGTCTAGCAGAAAAATATTATGAAAAAGTGATATTTCGAAGTGAATTTCTAAAAAGGTATGAGAAGAAATTTCATACATATATAATCAATCATTAATGAATGAATAGAAAAAATAAATTCATCAGTGAATTATTTCAGCATGCAAATCATGGATGATGAACAGAAAGAAAAATGTGTATAGGATAAGTTATTTTTGTATATTCACTAAAATGTAATCATTGTTTTTCTGAATAAATGAAAGGACTGTTAATTCTAACTCGATATTATCATGGAATGAATCGATCAATATATCAATGTGAATTTTATAGATGAAAATTAACCCCACTAAACAATAATTTGTTGTTATGATGATGATTACTTGATACAATGATTGTATTACTACCATCGATTACTGTTGTACGACTAGATCTTGTGAATAGTTCTGTGAAAGATGCTAGGAAACTGGAAAGTATTTTTTTTCAAATATGTAAATGGATGAGAAAAAACAAGTGACAAAAAGAAGTACCAAAATAGTTATTTAAAACAACGACAGTAGAATATAATATTCAAGTATGTATGAATAAAGGTCATACACCTAAGTGGATTAATTGTTGTTGGAAATGTGTAGTAACTCGGTATTCGGTGGCAGTGTGGGAACTGTGAGATATGAAAGGTCATGGATTCGACCCATGATGGGTTTATTAGTGTGTACTTCCTGGGAATCCCAATGAAAAGTCCGTCCGATGAGCTATGATTTCCAATAGTTATCCATATAGTATCAGTCCCAAATTCTACAGGAATTACTTTTTGATTGTTGTGTGAAGACTCTCAAATAGAGTGAGTGAAATGATGAGGCCGATAGTCTTAATCGGTAAAGGTAACTGGTACATGTCTTACACATCACCAGTGAACACCTAGCTATAAGTGTAAAGTTGGTTAGCCTAGGAATGGTGTTGTAAGAAAACTATAGATAGAAAAACTAAGATATGAGATAGATCTATGAAGTTATTGACCATTTAAAAGAGCCGTACTTATAGGTGTAGCCTATCTGGTTGAAGTCCATGGGCTACCCATGACCAGTGGTTGGATATAGTGGGTGCTATCGGTCGGAATCGATCACAGTAGCGTAAATTTTTATTTTACTTTCATTCTTGAATATCACTATCATTTCATATTTTTCACTTTTAGAATTCATCCCTTCCTTTTTAACAGTATTCTCTAATGCTCAGTCCTTCTCATTATCACTCATACAACTATTATTTAGATTTTGTTCAATTCTTTCTGTCAATTTTATCCAGCCGCGTTGATATGGTATGGGAACAACTTAGGCTAACAAACATTTTAGAATATTAAAGATTCCCATTGTGAAAATTAGAACAACACATATAAGTGAACAATTGTTTTCAATTAGATCGTCATGACGATCTAATTGAAAACAATTGTTCGCTTATATGTGTTGTTCTAACAAACATTTGTACCGAGCTCTGTGTTGATTAAAACTGATTGACTTTCCAATGGGATATGTATATGTTTGAGTCTATTAATTATTAGTCAGAGGAATAACACTATTAGATAAATAAACAAAACATTCACCTGAATAGTTGACAAAAGCATTCTGCACAATTTTTATCACATGGTTTACGTAAACCACTACTTGTATAAATAAACTCCTTTGATGTGCTCAATAAACATCTACCTGAACGTATAAAAACATAGTATACGCCAAATCCAATGAGAGGTAAAATCACAAAGAAAAGGATGCATATTACAACAAGTAATGTGTTATCCTTGATCCCTTGAAAGTAAAAAAAGGAAATATGTAAGATGAGTTTAGATAGTGGATATATAAGTGATTTCACAAAATTGGTAGTCGTCCAATTTTTACACTAATGAACAATTAATATAAGTGTATTAATGGAAAAAATTACTAGATTAAGGTGGGGGAATTGTGCGGTTTAGTTTATTCAAAACACTTCCTCTAATTTTTATCGTCCAAGAAAATTGCCAAGATTAGGTCTACACTGTTAACAGTCTAATGATACTACTTCGTTTCTCAAAAGATAACTGAATAGTGAGAGATTATAAGCACTTGATTTATTTTTTAAAAAAGAGGACTTTATCTATTAAGCAGTTTCTGTAGTATACAAGAGTGTCTAATATAAATAGCCACTTGCAAACTGTTAGATCGACTCTACGACACATTTCCAATATCTTTTAGCTACTTAAATGGACACAAGTAGTTAGATGGAATATAATCAATTATTTGTGTAAATGCACAAAAAGATTAAACTATTGTGAAAAGTTTCCGACCAGTTACCACTTTGTTTTACTTTTTCAGCATTCTGATGCATAACTGTTTGAAACTTCAAGATGATCAGTATTCAAACGTATTAAATTTTACTATATCCTACTTAAGGTAATCGAAATGGATGATTTATATCAAACTTATACAGTCAAATAAATGACAAATATATTTTCGGATATCCCAACGAGTAGAAAACTGAAATTCTGACGTTTCGTGATTTAACGTGAGTCACTTCTTCAAAGTGAACAACCATACTGATCGAGCATTAGTGGTAGAGCAAGGTGATGTGGACACTTATTATAATTTTATGTTGTTGACAAGTGACCGGCTGATTTATAATTGTGAGTTGTTTGTCTTCATTTAGTTATCTGTCTACTTAAATAACTGACAAAATATTTCATTTTTCACAAATTTGTCGTTGTTAGTGTTTTTCGAAATCATTGATTATTTTCAGTTAACGCTGAACGAAATGAAAAATGGGTTATTTTCTCCTTCAAATTAATATTATCGTTTTTTTGAACTAATAAACTTACTACTTATTGGAGGCGGCCCACTGTCTACACTGCCACCATTTCCATCTTCTTCACAGTAAGGTGGTTTATAACCGGGTGAACAATGACAATGTCCTAAATTATTACAAATCTGTAATAAAGGTATTTGAAAATGAAAAAAATATAGAGGAATTTAAACACACAATTCAATGGTAAAAGATGGATAAAGATGAACCGAAGTGAGAGAGGAAATCACTGATAATATCCAATGCTAGAATAGTAAATAAAACAAGCACATTGACTGATCACTAAGATATGGCTAGTGTGTCATGTTTGTTTAATCATTAGTACCGACAGAAGCTTATGCATGAAAATGTAGATCAAATGGCTCAGTAGTAACGCCTCAGGATTGTGAAACTAAATGATCCAGGTTTGAATCCCTAATGATTTTCTCAAGGTTGTGTGCGTGCCTGCTTGACGAATGGCAACCAGTATGAAACTAAGGTCTATGGATCCCTACCAACTGCCTACAACCGTCTAACAATAGAATAAATGGTGTCAAATTTTCCTAATGCAGTATAAACACATAAATTGTTTTGAGTTATACAGACTATTTAAAATCTAGAGGTACTTAGTAATCGACTGTTTAAACTAAAAGGTAAACGAAAAGGTTGCTAAACAAATGAAAGTACAATGTTGAAACTATCAAAAAAGACTCAAAACTGATGACGATGATAGATAATTATCACCATTATATTAACGAAATAATAATTTTATGTAACAAGCATTTTGTAACCGACACAGAAATTAATTAAGATTATTTTGAGCCGTTAATATTTATTTTATTACAGCCAAAAACATCTGTGATGCAACAGAATACATGAAGATGAACGAATGAATCGATGTTGACTAAAGTAAAAGTAAAGCTTGTAAATAAAACATTGTTTCCGAATTGATCTTAATGGCACAGATGTATTTACTATTCATATTCACTTAGAGTCTAAAGTTTTAAAATTATATTGTACTTTTTATTCCATGAAGTTATAATTATCAAGTCACAGACATTCATATAAATGTCACTCCATCAACGATCGAAGAAATCAAGATGACCATCAGACAAATCAAGGGTGGGAAAGCAGCAGGACCTGACAACATACTAGCTTAAGCACTGAAGTCAGACATCGAAGCAATTGCAAAGATGCTTCACAATCTATTCAGGAAGATTTGAGATGAAGAGCAAGTGCCGACAGACTGGAAAGAAGGAGACTTCAGTAAATGAGAGAACTACAGAGTATCACACTACTATCGGTACAAGAAAAAGTTTTTAACAAAGTACCACTGAACTGAATGAAAGATTCAACAGAGGCTCAGCTTCAAGATCAACAGGTTAAATTCCGTAAGGATCGGTCGTGCACAAACCAAATCGCGGCATTACAGATTGAACAATCAATTGGATGGAACTCGTCACTATACATTACCTTCCTTGGTGTTCCTGAGAAGATGGTCAACAACATCCGAAATTCATATGACGGACCACAATACAAAGTGGTGCATGGATTACAGCTAACAGCTGTATTCCAAGTGAGAACCGGAGTCAGAAATAGCTGCTTACTCGCTCCTTTTCTATTTCTTCTGGTGGTTTACTGCACTATGAAGACCTCGATATCTGATGGGAAGCACGGGATACAATGGCTATTTTGGATGCAACTAGACGATTTGGAATTGGCAGATGACCTAGCTGTTCTATCTCATACAAAGCAACAAATGCAGGTGAAGACAACCAGTGTAGCAGTAACATCTACAGTAGTAGGTCTCAACAGACACAAGGGAAAAAGGAAGATACTGAAATACAACACAGAGGACATCAACCCAATCACACTTGATGGAGAAACTGTAGAAGAGGTGAAACTTTAACGTGTTTAGCCTCAGTAATATTTCGGCATCTAAGCAGAGCTCATGAAGAGCCTGCTCGAGAAAACTAGTCTGGTTTTAGACCTAGACGTGGACGTATAGACGAAAAAAATTATTCCTTTGGCAAGTTATAGAACACAGACATACTTTTCGACGTCCAACTATGGGTGGGTTCCTTGACCTTAAGACGGCGTTCGACTCTGTTAGTTGTGAGGTTCTATGTCAGTGTCTACCACTGAAGGGTGTACTTGAGAAGTAAATTAACCTTGTACAGGCTATCCACTCGTAAACCGAAGGAGTCGGAGTTTATGGTGAACTGTCATCGGCACCGGTTACTTCAAGTGATGTTCGTCAGGGTTGTTCGCTTTTCCCATCTTTATTTAACTTTTTCATAGATGTGATTTTAGAGATAACACTTTCATCATCTGATTTTTCAGGGATCGATCTTCTATCAAGAGATTCACTTGTTGACTTGGAGTACGCATATGAAATAGTTCTGTTTGGTGAAGAAGCTGACAAAATGCAGATTCATCTGACCACCTTAAGCAATAATGCAAGCATGTTCGGGATGTGGTTCTCTCCCTCCTAATGCAAAATATTACTTCATGATTGGTTTACGTTATCACCTGAATTAATGATAGAGAATGAAGTAGTCGAACGCATCAACCGCTCCACTTATTTTGGGAGTCTCATCAGTACTGATGGTCTCAGTCAGTCACAACGTAGGACCAGGAACATATGTGCATCGGTCCAATTTGCCATACCGCATTAGCACAGCAAGATGAACACCGGATTCATAGAAGTAGTCAAATCAGTGGTGGTAATATGTAAAAGAAAGATTGAATATAAGGACATAGTACAAGAATAAAGAATTAGTTCGTAGAAAGACATAAAGTAACTTTAATCTCATAGTTTAAAGGAAGATGGGAGGGTGTATACACCTACGCCACTGTGATCGATTCTGAACCATGTCATCAAGAGTCTCCAACCGTTGGTTACGCGAACCCCAACCAACTAGTCTGCATCTACCAACATGGTTCAGACCTGAAGTTAAAGACTTCAAACACTGATGCCACGTTTTGGTTTGGCCGCCCCTAACTTTCTTCCAACCATCCCCAACACCGGTTAGCTCAGGCATACGCAACAGGTGGCTCAACCATTTCAGTCGATGAAGATCCACAACCTCATCAACTGATTTACCATCATTCCATAATACCCTGCGTCTAACCTCACTATTACCCAGTAATCGCAGCAAATGCCAGCAATATTTCTAAGGCATCTGTGGTCAAATACTAGTAGCTTACGAGTATCTTCTACTGTTAATGATCATGTTTCGCTGCCGTCAATTAAAACAGAACGGACTTCCGCGCAGTATACTCGTCCTTTTATTGATAGACGGATATCTCGCCTTCGCCATAGGCAATGTAAGTTGGCAAAAGCCAAACGAGCTTTCTGAATCCGTGCTGAGATTTCGTCAGACACCAACCCATTAGGGCTGATCAGACTTCCAAGATAAATGAATTTGTCAACGCGTTCGACTACTTCACTCCCTATCCTTAGTTCAGGTGTTGATGCAGACCAGTCCTGAAGTAACAACTTGCATTTAGGGGGAGAGAAGCGCATTCCAAACATTCTGGCATTGTTGCTCGGTGCTACCAAAAGACTCGGTATTTTATCAGCGTCCTCACCAAATAGGACTACGTCATCTGCGTATTCTAAATCGATAAGTGGACCTCCTGGTAGGAGATCAATACCCGAGAACTCAGTAGACGAGAATGTTATTTCCATCAATAGGTCTATGATGAAGTTAAACAAAAATGGAGAAAGTGGACAGCCTTGACGGACACCACTTGAGGTTGTAAAAGCAGATGACAGTTCGCCATAAGCTCTGATTCGACTAGTAGTGTTCGAGTAAAGAACCTTCACAAGGTTTATGTACTTCTGAGGTACGCCTCTCAATGAAAGACACTGCCACAGAATCTCGCGGTCTACGGAGTCAAATGCTGCTTTTAAGTCAAGAAAGATCACCATTGTCGGACACCGACAATTATGCCTGTGTTCTAGAACCTGACGAATGGTGAATATGTGGTCGATGCAGCCACGACCAGATCTGGAGCCATCTTGATTCTTTCGTGTTTGCAATTCACGAGTTTTAGTTAGGCGCCCAATAATTATTGAAGCTATTATTTTAGATGCTATATTAGTTGAACTAATTCCTCTATGGTTGTCATAGAACGATTTTGACCCCTTCTTATATATCGGGATAATAAGTGATTGCGACCAGCCAGATGAGATTACGTCCAACTCCCGGATTTTAGTAAAAATATTAGTCAACCTAATCGCTAAAATTGGACCACCATCCTTAAAGACCTCTGGAGCCAATCCATCTGAACCAGCTGTCCTTCTTCGTTTCAGATTAACTATAGCATTTTGAACTTCTGCTAGAGTTAGGGGACCTACTTCAATGTTCCATTCACACTGTCTAGGAATGGAGGGTAGTTGTAGAGTAGCTGAAGGCCAGCTGAACTGTTCTCTGAAATGTTCCGCCCATCGTTCTAAACGTCTGGACTGAGAGCAGATGAGGGTGTCGTCTTTTTCCGAAATAGTCTGACTTACACTTGACTTATTAATTCCAGTTTCTTTTATTAGTCTGTAGAGCCGTTTTGTGTTCCCTACAGTCGCCGCCTTTTCCATCTCTTTTGCCTTCGCTGCTCATCACTGCTCACGGTCGTTCCTTAGACTTTTGGTTAACATAGATCTGATTTGTTTTCGCTCTTCATCGTGTTCAGGGCCTGATGGGATGAGTTTACGAGAATCCATTGGTTCTTTGTAACCCTGTGGTTTAAATCACTGATAGATGTCACTGCTGTTTCCACAGCTGTTTGTATATCTTTCCAAGCAACATCTGAGTCAGTCTCGTTCTCAGAACTACCTAATTGTGACTTCAGTTGTTCCTGGAACCTACATTCGGTTTTCTCGTTACTCAGTTCACTTCTGATTAAATCTCGAAACCGATTCAGAAGGCTCTATTGGCTTTTATCAACTTTCTTCACTTATGGCGTAGGTGAGAAATACGTCTCCCGACCAAAGGGGGGGGAGTTTACTGTGCAACAGTTTGTTCTGTTTTACTTTATCATTTAGAATAGAAGATAATCGTATGTTACTGGTATTCGATCATAGGCATCTACGAAGCGTTGCTCATGTACTTTGAGACCATGGGGGCAGACATGAAAATAATAAATAGCAATTGAAGACAACTGGAAAGGAGAGCTTAAGACAGAGTTAGCTGGAGAATCCTGGTTGGCGGCCTATGCTCCACGAGTGGTAACAGGCGTGAGTAAGCATGGTTTTCGAAGACAGACGGCACCCGTCGTTAGATAATGGAAAATTACTGCTCTTACTTGAATAATTTGAAACATGGATATCATGAGCTTTACCGAATTGAAAAATTGTGGTTAGTTGTGAAATCGAGAGCAAGTGTTTTGTCCTATTTGAGGCTGGTAGGCTGATTGTATGTGCCTGCATCCTATTGTTGATGTTCACATTAGGATTTAAACCCAGTGTCTTTTTCCCGATATACATATCACGAGAAAATCAACAACACAATAAAGAAATGATTACATGATGCTTTTTACTTAGTCCAATGTGAAATAATATTTTAGGATTTCGTTTCTTTGTTTACAAGAAAGCGAATATTTTTTATGACATGACTAAAGAAAGTTTTAAAATAATCGCAATAATATTATTACTAATAATAATGAATTTCGATATTGAATTTATTTATCTACAAGCAATGATACATGTTATATAATATTTTCTTTTCAAAAAAGAGTAATATCTAACTAACAATAAACTTACGCCACGACCATTGCAATAACATGAATACAGTGGACGAACATTATCGATTGTTTTACAAGTACCATTGTAACAAAACTAGAAAAGAACAATCAAAGAATGAGATATCTGGTCAATATTTCTGAGAAAATAGGCATAAGATATGATTTATATTATTATTCGAGTATTGAACTTACGAAGTTTCTCAACTGTATCACCAATCAGAAAAGAATTTGGAAAAAACCAATACACTTTTCGATACATTTGTTAAATATGATTTCAATGTACTTTACATCACCATAAAATGATATCAATTCAGATTAATTGTTTACTTACTTGATACACAAAAGCAAGTATAAATAGGCATTAAAATAGTAGATAAGGGTCACAACAAATAAGGAAATGACATCGTAAAGAAATGAATTGGAAATGAGTGCAATAAATGAACAAGAAAACTGTGTAATAGAAGTCACAGTTCAGTTAAAAATACAAATAAGAGACACTTCTCCCGGTTAAGAGAGTTCCTTCCACTTTTATAAAGAGTGTAGAGGAAAAGTAAAACAGCATCGTCAATGTCTTCTCTTGTGAAGTATGTCTCATAACATCTTAAGCCATTTGGTTGTACCATTTGCAGGACACTAAATAGGTATTACTTTCATATCATGGTGCTATGTCGAGAAGTGACCACGTCTTCACATTTTCCACTTCCTCTAAGCGTTACCAAATAATCCTTTATATTGAAGCTGCTGTGATTATATTCGTACAACAGGTGGTCACCGAAGATGGTGCTTTAAAGCGGAATGTGTTGAATAAGTTAGTCTATGCATATCAATAACAATATGTATGGAAAGGAATATATATATCGGGCTATGTAATGTAGATAGCTTATACTTGACTTTGGAAATGCCCGATGCCATCGGATCATCAAATTTGAGCAACGTTGGACTCGATTAGCGCATGAATGGGTGATCGGCTGGGAGTGCCGAGTGTTGCATGATTTTAAAAAGCTGAGCGATGGCTCAGTGGTTGAGAGGTTTTGAGTTTCAGACACTTATTTCCAAGTTCGAACCCCACTCCACCCCACTCACATAGTCTTGAGCTGTGTGTGACACAAACCTAAGTACGTAAGGCTTTATCTGGTACGTGAGTTGACTACATATTACTTAGCATGGTTGCAACCGACAGTTCTTTGGTAAAATGAACTTATGTTATGTATTAATTTAATGAAATTCATTGTTTTCAGTAATTTGAAAAAAAAACCTATGAAATATTGCAAGAAACAGGAAATATTTCAGCGTACAATGGTTTTTGATAACTTATTCATTATGCTCTACAGTTATAAATCTAAAAATATTGTTACATTAAACAGAGTATTAAGGTATGTATCTAAATGTTCTGATCAAATTAGTCAGTGTTATAAATTGGAAATATCCGAATTCACATCGATTAGCTATTAAATGCTAATGAAACGCATTTTATTAAAAATAGAAATAACTTTTGAAAATACTTGGACAATAACTTATATTTTTCTTCCTTTCAGCTTTTTTTATACATAACGGTTCAGTTTTAAACATCTCGGTAAACAATGGCTCAATACAAATTTACACAACATGGATACATACATCCTAACCAGTTGAAGTAAAATTTTCAGTGCCTCGAGATTTGACTCCAATTTGGACGAACGAATAAATATTCCATGAACATAAATCTTCCGTTTAACTCCGTATATTAGACCTAGGATAGCTCCGTCTGAGCGATGGTGTTAATAAGAAGATAATTACGGACTAAGATGTATTTATTTCAGACTTTCGTTCACTCAGACATTAAGATAAGAAGCAGGAAGACAGGGGGAAAGAAGCCGATAAAGGAAGTGTACTAAATTCATTTGGTGTAGCTTGACTCACTATCTTTAGCCAGATGAAAATAAGCTAAAGACATGTGATGAAAAGGGTAGGCGATAAACACACATACGCCCTTATGTAAAACAGTTAAGGTTATAAGTGAGTAATCGATATGGTAAAAATATGACTCCAGTAAATCGATTGGTCTGTGTGGAAGCTAGAATAACTCAAGTAGGCTTGACAGAGAACTGGACACTACATATTCATCATATTTACAGGCTGACTTAGATACGCAGGTGAAAACGTTAAGGTTTTAGTTGCACTAACCATTTGAAATACAATATAATGTATGTAACAAAACAATTGCTTATCATTGTATACCGACATAGTGTAAAAAACATCATTACTTTTTCTATTGGGTTTGATGAATTCATTTTATTCGCCTCTTACCCAAGTTATCAATATCGTGCTCATTTTTAGATTTTTGATTTAGACCTCTTACAAAACAGTAATATTCAAGTTTAAATCAGGCAAAATGCTGAAATTACATAAGACATAGTTTTGTCGTTGAGATTTAAAACTATGGTTGACCTTTGAGCGAAGATAAAGTGATCTTGAGAAAACTCACGAACTTAATAGGATCAAAAGAGGATTATCGATTAGTGTAAGGAATCAGAAATAAAATGTAGAGTTAGAAATTGGGTTGTAAATTAGGATTAGGGTTTTCCCCGCGAACTGGCATTAGCTATAACATCAAAATGTTATTTAACCGTATTGATAAATGAACTTGGCACCAAAATCCAAGACTTGCTATCTTTCATTTCATTTGTTAGTCTACAAATTATGGTTCTGCCGAAACATCTGTTAGAATATGGTCATATCGTGGTAATGAATCTTGAGCTGAGATAACGTAACATAAATAAGGGCATAACAAAGTCTTAGAATGAAATGTTCCAAGTAAAGATGTATATATGAAGGTGTTTAACTGAGTGATTTAAAAAAACACATCTCTGAGTGTTTAGGTTCAAATTTTTCGGTCGGTTACAATCAACGTAGAAACTGGTACATATGTGGGCTGATCTTAGTTTCAATGCTATATGAGCACAACGCGATGAAATTAACAAAATAAGTAGGAAAGGAGGGTAAATCATGTCGTAGTGATAGTAATAAGAAAAAATAACAATTGAGAATGTCGTACGAAAATGTGGAAATAAAAATATGTACGAAAGAGTAGTAAAATTTATGATTTCGAGAAATGTAAAGACGAATACACCAGGGATTTTCTGATAGGTTTTAAACAAAAGGTCACAAAACGTCTCCAATCACATAGTGTACTGTTGTAAACATGGCTCAGACCGATGACTATGTAAACTGATCTCACATCTTAGTTTGATGTCCCTAAAGTACTTCTACAACAGCCAGGATTGCACGAAGAGGTAGGAGTCAATGAGAATTCTCAACCTTACCAACTTAATTTTGATGTATCGAAAGTGGATGTTAAGAATGCTGTGAAATACAGAAATAAGATTATGTTTGCAGGTTCACAACATTGATTTAAAAAACGCACTAAAACGTTTACTCTTATTTCACTAAACAATTTTCTATACATCTAATTCTTTCTCGATAAACATCGTTTCGATCCATACAAATATATTAATATATGGGCTGAAAACTGTTATATCCTGAAGTCCGTCAAACATCACGTCACAAAATCGATATTCAAAAAATCAAATTCTATGGCATCGTCGCTGTGCTAAACCAATGACAAGCCAACCACCACTAGCAGTCTTCAGTCAACTCGCTAAACCCTGTCCGTTGAATCCAGAACACAATATCCCCCTCCGCTGTATGAATCATATGCTTCAGGCATACTTACTTATGCCTGTTACTCCCAATGGAGCATAGGCCGCCGACCAGCATTCTCCAACCCACTCTGTCCTGGGCCTCCTTTTCTAATTCCATCCAATTCTTGTTCATCTTTTTCATGTCTATTTCCACTTCTCGGCGTAATGTGTTCTTTGGTCTTCCTCTTTTCTTTTGGCTTTGAGGATTCCATGTGAGGGCTTGTCTTGTGACGCAGTTGGGTGCTTTCCTCAATGTGTGTCCTATCCACTTCCAGCGCTTCTTCCTGATTTCTTCCTCCGCTGGGATCTGGTTTGTTCTCTCCCACAGTACGTTGTTGCTAATAGTGTCCGGCCAACGGATCTGAAGTATTTTGCGTAGACAACTGTTAATAAACACCTGTATCTTCTGGATGATGGCTTTCGTAGTTCTCCAGGTTTCCGCCCCATACAGTAGAACTGTCTTGACATTTGTATTGAAAATCATGACCTTTGTTTTGGTTGACAGTTGTTTTGAGTTCCAGATGTTCCTCAGTTGTAAATATGCTGCTCTTGCTTTGCCGATCCGCGCCTTCACACCTGCATCAGATCCACCCTGTTCATCAATGATGCTGCCGAAATATGTAAAGGTTTTTACATCTTCCAAATCTTCCCCGTCAATTGTGATTGGATCGGTGCATGCTGTGTTGTATCGGAGAACCTTGCTCTTCCCTTTGTGTATATTGAGACCTATTGCTGCTGAGGCTGCTGCTACACTGGCCGTCTCCTCCTGCATTTGTTGTTGCGTTTGGGATAGAAGGGCCAGATCATCTGCGAAGTCCAGATCGTCCAACTGCATCCTATATGTCCATTGTATCCCGTGCTTCCCTTCAGATGTTGACGTCTTCATGATCCAGTCGATCACCAGGAGAAAGAGAAAGGGTGAGAGTAAGCAACCTTGCCTGACACCGGTCTTTATTTCGAACGACTTTGTCAACTGTCCTCCATGCACGATTTTGCAGTGCAATCCATCATATGAATTCTGTATGATATTGACTATCTTCTGAGGCACGCCGTAGTGTCGAAGAAGTTTCCATAGTGTTGTTCTGTCCACGCTATATGCTTCAGACATATGTGGTTTATATACAAGCAGACTACACCGCATCACACCAAGTGAAAAATAATTATTATACAAGATCAAGCTAAAAGAGGTTCAGTAAAAAAGATCGTGGAAAACAGATTGGGAATAAATTAAGGATGGTAAATCGTACAATGGTAGCTAATGGGTCAAATGAAAGCTTATGATAAAAGAAATATGAATATATGTGTAATCTAGTTACATAATAATTATATGATAAGAATATACGTATTAATAGTCCATAAACAATTCCTAGCAGTTACCATTCATTTATTCTTTGTTCGGACATGACACTTCATATACAGAAACATAACTCCTGTTCTGTGAAGGTAATAATAGGTAGGACTTACCTGACAGGGGTTATAAACTGCATGAGAATGGACCCTCCTTACTCTCGACAATACCAGGGTATTTGGATGCTAAGTAGTAATCAGTAAAAATCATACAAATTTCCAGTTTAATTGTCAAACCGAATGATCCCCTCTTTCTCCAGTACCATAAACATACTCTTGGTAATATATAACTTTGTCGTCTATCAAGGTTTACGAGTAAAATAATTATATATATAAGATAAAGTCAATTTTCGTGTAGGCACCCAAACCCGAAGGTCAATGATGTTGCACAAGAAAGGTTAACTTCTGAATCAATAAAATTCGAACAATTGAATGCGTAAATCTATGGCTAACTACAGTTAATAGTAATAATTGTATTTTGAAAGATATTATTATAACGTTATTAAACTTACGCCTCGAGAACAAGGTGTCCCATCAGGAACCATCCCAGCATCTTGTGTATTTGCTGAATAAAGTCCAACACCTGCACCATTTGCATTAATTTGAACTAATTTGTTCTCGTCCCAAGTGGCAGGATCCGAAGCTGGCCAAACTGGATCATAAACTAGTGCAGAACATGATCGACCAGATGAGTGAATAACACGTGTTTGTGACTGAATCCAACCAAGAAGCATAGCTTTTTCATTTTGATGATGACACCATAATCGTCCACAGGACGTATCATGCCTGAATGAAGGAAAAAATTCTCTAACTTGGTGGAGAAATGAAATAAGCTAAAATTAACATTGAATATGAAATAAATACAAGTTAACGAAGAATTTTTTCGACATCACTTATTGATACTATACGATCGTGCCTACAGTTATGTAACAAATATATCGGTCTAAAGAAAAATAGAACGTGATTAAATCATAAAATGTTCTAGGATTTCAAGCCTTGAATGACTTTGGATGCTGAACTTAATGTAGTAATAGTAGTAGTAGTACACGAAATGTCAAGATACATATTGAAAGTTTGATCCGGTGACCGTTGTAGTATTCTTCTTATAACAATATAGCCTGAATGATTTACATATATCTTATTGCAAAACTAAGGAAACAAGGTGGATATAGACAAATTGGTATGACTCATAGTTTTGGACACAAACAGTTAGTGAGAAAAACAATTCACTACTACATTCCTTGTTTGACCTGCACGGAGATGAATAGCGCTTCGTTCTGTGGAATTAGCCAGATGTGGCTGTGAATGAGGGAGGAAGTGACTAATAGACAGGGAATAATTCAAGAATGGAAAATCGTATAATAACAGTTCATAGGTTAAAATAAAGCTTATGATAAGAGAGACATGAATATGAATAGTTTAGTTAATTAACAATTATGCGATAAAAATATACGTATAGTACTGGTCCACAAATGGATCCCAAAATTACCATTCATCGTTCTTTTCGGGACATAACAATACCCAACCAAATTTTTATCCATGTTAGAGAAGAAAATGAACATCCCGTACCAATCGAAATATATCATTATTAATAATCTATATCACAGATATGATAGAGATTTGTAGTTCAGGTGAATGAACTCACAAATCAACTGCGTACACACTTTATTCAACAAGGCGAGGACATACTGCAACACACTTGTAAAGCGGGAAAATGAAGAGAAATATCTAAAGCCTATCTTTCGAAAGAACGGCTAACCAATCTGCAGGGCAAGATGTGAGGCAAATGTGGAGAAATTCGAACACTTCACTTTTACTTGAAGTTTGTTCTGATAATGTTGTTCAGAAGAACGATGATGGTTCCACGACCAGACCATCCAGCTGAGAGAACAGAGATTCACCAAAATCATAGGCATCTAACAATTGTGAATTATTTAGATGGTTAAACCACTAACCCCAATCAAACAATAGTTTATGCTAGTTACGTCATTCATTTTTTAAAAACTTTTTCCCAAGAAATTGGAAATGAGCGACACACAAATACAACAGGAATAAAAGTGGTAAAAAGTACAAATGAAATAATGTCTTTTAAGGATATCTAGGATTTTTCTAGCCGATATTAATGATTAAATTTCAATGAAGACTTTAATAATAATAATTGTTAGTATTATTATCTTCCAAACGATACAAAACAAATAAAATTTCTTCACTTAAAATTTCGATTGAATGATACACACTGTTAAATGAAGAAAGGGGAATTCAACACTTTTTACATGTCATCCATCGACCAGATTGCTGTTCGAAACCTTGTTAAGTTCATTTTCTCCATAGGTTTGCTCCTAAAACAAGTTCTGTTATATTGTCGAAGCACACAGTCTAGATGTATTAACTGAAGTCAAAACCAGTAAAACTACATTTTAATACTTTATATGCTTCCCATATGTGAATCACTGTAATCAGTACAAAACAAATATAGTTCGCCAGAAAATGAGAGCAAAATACACATACTGAATAGCAATTGGAAATGCAAAGATGAATAATTACAAAAAGCAAAATATTTATAAGAGTAAAATTTTTATTGGTTGATAGCTAAATAAAGGGTGATAAGAACGAGACAATACTGAGTAAAAATTGTGGGGGTTTAAAGTAACATATTATTGGTTACTTTGGTTAGGGACATTACTGACACTTGGTTCATTGCATATCACCATACAAAAGGAGAAAATTAATCATATAAATAAATAAATATTCGAAATAATTGTGGTATCAATGATTGTGAAAATGATAAAGCATAAGGGATAAGTTTGTGAAGAGTTGTATTATCCTCATGTTATAATTTAGGACTATTATCTTATGACTCTGTTGGAATATGTAAATCGAGTGAGGATGCCTTGATGTCATGTACAAATACAAATTCTTGGCATATATTAACATTCAAGTTAGAAGTGAAATCCAAAACATAGATATGCAGGGATGGGTAGGGAGATTGAGTTTCAATGTGAAACGCAAACACATTCAACTGATGACTTTCCGAATAGTGTCAAAAATATGCATCCTGTATTATACTACTATTTAGAATTGTAATATATACCAAAAATGAAGAATATATTCGTTTATACCACTGAAAACAGTTTCCAAATATCTCACGCAGCATTTCATTTACATCAATTAGAAGTTTGTCAGCTTATGCATTCTCACTTTGAGTCACTTTGTGACTCAAAAGATGTAGATTGGACTATATCACGCAATAAATGAACTTGTTATTGTTTAGTTCAGGGACAAATTCATAGAAATTGGTGCTCTGATTGGTGGTTTTGTCACGTGATAATTTTCGGGAGGACGTAAGTCATAAAATAGTGTGGTAATCCTAAAAGACACCACAGTACTCCCCGCCTTGCTTATGTATAAAGTTAATATTAAAACCGAAATCGAGACATTTTTATAGGTAGTCATTATAGCGAAGCGATGAAAACTGATCAAATGGAATCTGGAACTGAATAAATGATATTCATATCCGTAGGAATAAACGACCTACAAGTTTGTTCTAAATCTCTGATATTTGTTTTTTTAGGACCAATCTACTCTTAAATTACAGTAAAACCAGTTTAAGAATAATGAATTACAAGAAAAAAAGGAATTTGATGAACTACCAAAATTACCATGTTTCACAAGCTATTCCTGTCCACGTTTTTACATCTTCCCATCGATTTTTAGATAATGGTCGGTGTACGCCACAATTTGCTACAGAATCGACATTAGATTTTCTACTCTTTACTTCATTTTCATAAAAGCAATATTTATCAGCAAGTCTGGCAGTTTTACCCCATAATACACGACACCAACCATCTGCTTCACGACAACCACCACGAATACAATGAGCCTTTGATAATGAAAAAAAAGTCGACAGAAAATAATTATAATTTTTAAAAAAAAAATCAAGCATTGTGTTCTTCTGGAATAACGATTAAGTAATGACAAAGGAGAAATCCAAAATACTTTGTGAATATTTTTGTCAGTTCACACATTAGGTACGTATGTGATGTAATGTAGATTTTTTGGAAAACAAGGTAAAGGTGTAGTGAAATATATGTTAACATTTGAGCGGTCTAATCACTAAGCAATTAATGCCTAACTTTCAGACGATAAATTTTACTACAGGAGACTAGGAAAAACATACATAAACAAATAAATGATTGATTGACTGATCAGTTTGAAATATTTTGTTTTCTTTACCCTCACTCTCGCTCTCAAAAAACATAAAGTTCTACTAACAACATAAACCAATTGGTATGAAAAGTTAGCACTGATATGACCATTCATTGTGTATCAACAGGGACTAAGCTTTTGTTTTTAATGCTTAAAGTACAAAATAGTTTAACCATCGATCAGGTTAATTATTAGGCAGATAAACATAAATAGAGAGAGAATAAAAATAGGACACAAGTCAGTTCTTGTTTGTGTTACTGTGATTATATTACTGTTATCATCCTTCTTATGACAAATGTTGTTGCTTCATGTCATTTAGATAGAGAAGTGAACCAGGAAAGATGTCACATAACAAGCATACCTGGTTTAACATTGATGGCTAAATTTGTAGTAGGTAATTTGTCGAAGATAGACTTCAGTTGAGACATTATTAAAAAACAGAGAGCACGGTATAAAACTAATCAGATAAAGTTTTTAGAATCTATACATCGATAATATATTACTGTGCCTAATATGAGACGAGTTGTTGAAGTTTAAGTAAGAAGCTGTGGCCGGTGAAGCTCATATATATGACGAGAGAAACAGTAACCAACAATGATATTGGATGATTGTCGCACTATATTATGAATTGATTGGAGTCGGAAATGTGTATCGTTGATTGTCGATTCAATGATATAATGGTTGAGGGCTCTCAACGAAAACTGTGAGCTAGACCCTTGAGAGGAGCTGTGTAGTGCTTATGCTTGAAATGTCCAACACCAAGATCACATAACTGACTAGTACACATTGGTTCTTATTAATAACCTAATTGATATTATTCTGTGACAAAACTCCTTCAAAGGTTATTGGGACAAGAAAAAAGTGGAATGGATAATTGAATATAGAGAGAAGCAAAAAAGGCAAACATAAAAAAACACGATTTGAAAAATAATGAAGAAAGTATTAAATTATGTAGATTTCCTGTAAAAATAATTTTTGGCAAACAGTTTAACTGCATTGTCAAAAAAAAAGAAATCAAGTCAGCGTAATACATATTCACTGTAATTTATAATCTCAAATTATGGATAAAACTCATAGCATATAGAAAGTAAATTCACTAAACAGAATAAACTGTTTTATTGAGCATTCATTTCTTAATAGAATGCTATAGTTAATTTTAAACTGTTCGAAATATTGATGAATGAATATTGTTCACTATTAGGGATTTGAAAATATTATGAAAACTTAAGTGAAAGTAATACATAACAGCATTATGATATAAATGTAATTCAATTATAGTTATTTAAATTATTACTATTATGTTGTTAAAGTATTTAAACATGCGAAACTTTGATGATGATCAGTTAAACAAGCTTCAATTTGCAGAGGGATTAAGATATCACCTAGAACTGACGAACGGAACGAAAGTCAGTGATATAACAAGCTAAGCGATTAATCTGAGCCCCAGCCCGACTAACTAGATGAAGAAAACCACATTTAGCCAGGAAAATATATAACTCTACAAGCAGACCGAAAGAATGAACGAACAAGTGGGGAATAATGAAAGCTCACTGTTAAGGAGTCACATACCACACTTTCCTCATCTAAATTTCAAGGGGTTGAACTTCTACCGGGAAATCCACTTGTTGACTTAGAATATGCTGATGACATGCAGAGTCTTCTGACCACTCTAAGCAACAATGCAAGCATGTTCGGAATGCGATTCTCTCACTCGAAATGCAAAATGTTGCTTCAGGATTGGGTTACATCGACACCCGAACTAATGATAGGGAGTGAAGTAGTTGAGTGTGTCGACCGCTTCACTTATCTTGGAAGTCTCATCAGCCCTTGTGGTCTGGTATGTGACGAAATCTCAGCACGGATACAGAAGGTTCGATTAGCTTTTGGTAACTTGCGTCATTTATGGCGTAGGCGAGATATCCGTCTATCAACCAAAGGACGGGTTTACTGTGCAGCAGTTCGTTCCGCCCTACTTTATGGCAGTGAAACATGGCCGGTAAGAGTAGGGGATATTCGTAGGTTACTAGTATTCGACCATAGGTGTCTTCGAAATATTGCTCGTATATCCTGGGACCATCGAGTAAGTAACGCATTTGTTAGGAAACGGGTACTAAGTAAGGATGGCAAATCAATTGGTGAAGTGATGAAACTTCATCAGTTGAGATGGCTGGGACACTTGTTACGTATGCCCAACCACCGACTGCCTCGACATGCAATGTTCAGTGGTATAGGAGTAGGTTGGAAGAAAGCTAGGGGCCGCCAGACCAAAACATGGCACAAGTCCATGAAGTCACTAACAAGTTGACTGAACAATGTTGGCAGGTGTAGACTACCTGATTGGGGACCGCGAGACGATAGCAACCGATGGTTAGAGACCCTAAATGACACTGCTGAAAATCGTTTGCAATGGCGCAGGTGCATCCACTCTTTGTGTTCTCCCAAATTTTGATCTCCTGACTCCTTCTTGTCTTTTTTTCTCTTCCCAAATTTATTTCACTGTATTATACTCTTTAAGTAACATCTCCAAACACTAATCTTTGCGATTACTGCTTATACTCTTATTACCTCTACCACTACGGGATTTGAATCGACCACTGCATCTCTGTGTTAATGTGGTGTGGCAACTCGAACTGATGTACGTACGTACGAAGTTCTACGTTGTTACTGACTGATATACCAGGAAGAAACAGTCGTGCAGTGCTTCCAGGTTTTCAATGGTGGTCTATATTAGATCGACTCGTGAATTCAACTTTGAAAATACAAAAATATCCAGAACAAGCACACAAGTCATGCGTATATGTACAATACAACAATGTTGAAAAACGTCACAAAACAGCGTACTGAAAGAGAAAACCAACCAATGAAATTTAGGTTGCTTCTAGGTGGGAAACACAAGCTGATTTTAAAAAATTGGCACTTTTGGTGCTAAAATGAGAAATTTCGACTTCTACAATAAAATTACAGAAATGAGAAGTTTACGAGGTGACTTCTGGAGATCTAGCATCCACAACACATTTTATTAAGAAATTCTTTGGAAGTTGAACAAGAACGCTAAAGAATTTAAATCAATCAATAACAGCAAGACAGGACGAGTGAAAGCGTGGCAAATAACATAATAATAAAGATAGGTTTCTACACTCAATTGGCCCAATAACGAATGAAATGATTTAACATTATAGTTTAGGTTCGTGTTATTTGCAAAAACAATCAAAACACTCAGTCATACAGTAAATTACTAAGGCCATTAAGAAATTGATAGTTTAAATATAATGTCAATAACTTATGAGCATAAATAGGATATATATTTACGGCAATTTCAGAGAAAGGACAGTAACCAAGATGGAACATAGACTATTCATTTTATAATATGTACAGATATAAAATCGAGTTATTTTCTGTATGGGGTTGTGGAGACTTGAATTTTATTGAAATCGTGAACCGGTCAATGTTAGATCACCATTGATGACCGTACAATATCGTTGAATTGATTGAAATTATACATTAACACTACTGGACGCCGGCTCAGTAGTCTAGATGTTTAGCATTCGCGAGCGAGACCGAGGGTCCTGGGCTCAGGTCGCACGTGCGGGATCGTGGATGTGCCTTGTTGAGTAATCCCATACTAGGACGAAATAGCCGTCCAGTGCTTCCATGTTTTTATTGGTGGTCTAACATTGATGGGTTCACGATTTCATTGAAAACCAAGTTAGTTGGAAAGCATTCTGTATACCAAGTAGCTGTCATACTCATAAGATGTACAACACTGGGAAACTGTTTGTAACTAGGTTGATAATACCAACGCTATTCTTTAAATTAACCCAATCAATGCAAAATTCGTGTAATCAGTCTGATAACCCGAACCTCAAACACTAATACAAAATTATCTTAAGTGCACACAACACCACATGGACACTATCTAAGGTGCATAAAATGTAGATTACCAGTCGCGACCATATATTATTTAACCTGATTTCCTATGCACATACAATGTAACTGACAAACAAACTTAGTTTGTCATTACTATTTCCAACTTCTATAATCACATTTATTCTCTCTTTATTCTCATGAGCCATTTTCTATTGTAGCGTTTGTGATAACTGGTCTAATGATTGATTATTGTCTCAATTTTTCTTACAAATGACCTACGCTTAATAATAAAATTTAGTAATTTCATGTGTCGACAACCTGTCACTTAGTGGATCATTTGTATTGCAATAATTATTTGAAGAGTGTATGAGTTTGTACATATTTTTGAATAGCTTTCGTTATATGAATATTTAACATTAGCGTACTGAAACAACTGTGTATGATTTTTTAAAAATGTTAATTCCTGTTTACATTCATCTAAACTGTTTCTTTCATTTTTAATAACAACAACAATAAAAACAACACTAACATGGTCGAAATGGAAATAAATATAATTACAAATGTGAACAACAGCGATGAATAGAAATACGTATTTATTTTTAGCAGTGGTGGTAATAGCAGACATGTATTTATAATTTTATGTTGGAGGCAACAAGATGAAAGTATCTTTCACTGTTCAATTGTAAGAATTACAATAATAACAATCGGTAAAAAGTGTAAACAAATTCAATAATTTATATCGGCTCCATTTACAATAAAATATTATTTCTACTACCACTTAATAATCTATGTTTACTTAAATAATTAACAAACTTTAGTTTATTTGAAGGAGTTTTCTGAGGATTACTTTAATTTGCAGGTTATTTCAGTTGTAGAATGATCCTAGGTGGGGTATGATTGAGAACTAGAGATCAATGGACAGCTGTATAAAGGATATTACTATCAAGTAGCGGGGTTGCACGATCCCTTTAATAATCGAATTCAGATTATTCAGGTCTCGAGAAGAACGCTGAATCATTAGAACCAGTAATCAGTAACATTCGAATACTAGTTATGAAAAATTGTTAGAGGAATTATTATTTATTATTTTAACACAAAGATATTGGTACACATGATTACACTATTTTCCTTTCAACACTTTATGAGATAATCTATTATTCTATATAAACGCATACATTTATTGAGCAATTATAAATACAAATGTATAGCTTCATTAAATGATTTCATAAAACAGAAAGTCTTCTCCTAGTATGGGACTCCTCAGCAGTGCGCATCCACGATCCCGCACCACGCGAAGCTCGAACCCAGGACCTACTGGCTTCGCGCGCGAGCACTTAACCACTAGACCACCGAGCCGGCATCCAACGGTGTTAATGTCTAACTTCAACCAATCCACGAATTTGCGCCACTGTACACCATTGTCTTCAGTGAGTTCCTATCTCACAACGCGCGCGAAGCCAGTAGGTCCTGGGTTTGAGCCCCGCGTGTGGCGGGATCGTGGGTGCGCACTGCTGAGGAGTCCCATACTAGGATGAGACGGCCGTCCAGTGCTTCCAGGTTTTCAATGGTGGTCTAACTTCAACTGACTCATGATTTCAATTTGTGAAATTTCTAAAATCTCCACAAAACCCATTCTGAGAAAGTTTTCTGTTTTATTCTCGTTATTTTCACTCAATAATAATAAATTGGGTTACTTCAATAAATATTGTTAGGTTGATTTATCACTATTTATTTGAAATAAATTTTATGCTTAATTTAAGAAAAAACTATATATTAACCGGTGTAGAGCCATAACGAGGAACTCTTCATGCATTACCTCCGTAGATCATGACATCTCACTAGAACTCCATAAGTTACATCTTGAATCTAATCGCTAGTGAGCATATGATTATTATTAGTTTAGGGGATTTGTGGACATTGTAATATTACAATAATATTAAAAATTACGAAATGACCTCAGCTAGATCAAAATCGAAAAACCTGGAAGCGCTGGATGGTTAACTTGACAGTTAACTTATAACAGTATGGGATTGTAGAGATTAGGTTTTTGATTGAGATCATGAATCAATCTACGTTAGACCACCACTGAAACAGCCGTCCAGTGCTTCCAGGTTTTCAACGGTGGTCTAACATTGATCGATTCATGATCTCAATTAAAAACTTAACTCATATATATTTCATATCCTTACGAGAACATTAATTACAATAAGTTTAATGGTTAGCGCAAATGAACTTGACACCATTTTGTAGTAGTTACTTAGTCGAAATGTTGATTTTTTCTCACACTAAACTGTGTCAAGTATTACCTAGTAATATGTATATTGTTTAAAATAATTTCTTGTATTTAAAATCAGTCATAAAATTAAAGTACGACAGCATGACAAGTTTTACATGCCATTAATTAAGTAATATAATAATCAGAGTGATCATTTTCATTAACGACTAACAATCTATTCAAATCTATCCAGAATAAAAGACAATAAACATTTTGGAAAAACAGTCGATGCATTTATTTCTCATATTTATTCATACAATCAGATATATAGTAAACATTAGTAAACAACTAGTGAAGAAAATAGTAGATAATGAAATAGGTAGATAGATATACAGAGAGGAAGTGAAAACCCCTATTTCTTTTCCATGTTTATCACATAACACACTTTTCGTACAATCTCGTTGACTATTAAGTGCGTGTGTGTACGTGTATGTTGATACAGTTTTACTGTGTTTCATGTGTATACAACATACAGTAATTGTCACAGGACAAAACAACAACTCATTTATTTAAATATATTGAATTGTTCACTATATTTTTAGAATTTATCGGTTTACTGACAAAATTCTAAGTGACAAGGGATTTCACTAAATAAAAATTTATTTTTAAGGATTTTGTGTAATGATGTAAATGTTGTAGATCACCAGAGTTTGTGTAATACATAAATGAGGTCAACAATATAACCTTAACAAGCTCATTGTGTGGAAAATAATCACGTTCACATTACTGACTAATTTTCAAAGGTAATTCCTAGAATTCTAGTGAGAAGTTGGAACCAAAGGAGTTCATCTATGTTGACGAGTGAGACAGTATTGAAAAGATAGTTGTGCAATATTACAAGTTGACTAAAGTTAAAAGTATAAACCATTAAGACGCTACCCAAATGGTCCAAAGGTTACTTAAGTGCTCATTACGAGACTTAAAGGTCCAGAGTTTAATACCCGGTAGGGTCGTCGACACCCACCATTAATGGGATCCATACTAGGATGAAGAGACTGTCCAGTTCATCCTGGTTTCCAATGATTTCACTGGTTGAAACCATGAGTCGATTGAAGCTAGACGACCATGGAAAACCTGGAAGCACTGGACAGCCGTTTCGTCCTAGTATGGGACTCCTCGGCAGTGCGCATCCACGATTCCGCCCCTCACGAGATTCGAACCCGGGACCTATCAGTCTCGCGCCAGGCGCTTAACCAGCTAGACCACTGAGCCGGTATCCAAGGGTGTTAATGTCTAACTTCAACCAATCCCCGAAGTTGCGCCACTGTACACCATTGTCTTCAGTGAGTTGATATATAACAACAGACCTGGTTGAAGGCTTCTCACTAGAACTCCAGGATTATCTCTTTAAGTCAGTAATTGTTGAAATAAGATTAGTCTGTAACACGAGTCCTAAAATTTAAAAAGCATTACTTTTCAAATGTTTACCATGATATCAGTTCATTATAAAACATATGTAATTAAACTAATCAACTACCTAGCAAAATAAAACCGACTACTAGAATAACCAATCACTACTGCTCATTAATAACTCACTTCAATCATAGAAAGTAGTAATCAGAGAAGTAATTTAAATACGAAAATAACTACAAATAAAAATCGATAGCATAAGATAGGGAATAACTAAAAAAAGACAAACAGCCAATAAAAAATGATAACCTGTTATCCATAACATGATAAAAATATTTGGATTCGGTCATATCTAAAGTGATATAAAACTAGAACAAAACAATCGCCTGAATATTTGCGGTTTCAAGAGAGTATTCAGTCTAAGGTTACCTTCAGATTATGCGTTTTCTCTGTAACCAAAATAGAGAACGTTTAAAAGTGAGTTAAATTTGAATAACTACTTGTGCGTATCTAACAAATATCAATGTTACACAACATCCAATAAACCGTTAACAAACGATTACGTAAGACGATACAAAAACTATGTATTAGGGTACTATTCCTCTTACACCGAGTTTCAATATTTTACAGACACAACTCATGAGTACATGTCATTTAGCAATTCTCTGTGGAAAGATAATCAGTATTAATATCTGATCGATAACAACTAAACAGTTATTATTTAGGATAGATGGATTGTGGCTAGTAGCCGGATGGGCCTAAATTTATTTTGATTTTTTCACCTCCATCTAAATACAGTACATTTTACTCTAAGCGCAAAATGCGCTATCCACTAAGCTACTTTACCAAGATAGTTACTAAACCAAACCCTTTCTAATAATGATATAAACAGTTATATATTAAACTTAATATTTAAGGGGATGGAACCTATTAGCTATTTGATGAACATTAGCTTACATCCTAATTGATTTAACTTGTTTACAACGTACAATCTATGTATTGAGAGATTTGAATCATATCGTTTGATAGGAAGGTCAATGATACTACCTGGTTGAACAAACCGGAGTGGGACAAAACTCGAACCTATTACCGAAAAGATGAGTGCTCTAGACATTAAGCCACTGCTGACACTGTCATAATTTCTATTGCGCCGAATACGAATTATATCTTTTTCAGACTATATATTTCGCAAATGTTATATTTCACAGAAATTGAAAAGATTAAAATAGAGATTTGTAGTGTGTTCTCGCATAGCTTCATGATGAATTTTCATTATAAATCTGGCATCAATAAAATGACCACTGACAACCAAAATGCATTACACAACATTTTCATCCTAGTTCAAGACACCTCAACAGTATAGATATTTAAAACATTGCGCTGAATTAAACTTAAGAGGGCTTTAAGTTTCTTGGTAAAGATGACATTATCACTCGATATCAAGACTGTAATATAAATGTATATATCTTTGAAAGTTTATAAAATATTTTTAGAAGGTGCATTTAACTTAAATTTAGCTACTCTTTTTGATTAATAGACTGTATGTTGATGACGCCTGTGTCTGTCTTAAAACTAACCTTCCTATAAAATTTTTCAATTGAATGGATATACTTAATATAATGAATTTTTGAAGATGACAACACTTACACGACGACCTTCATCGGTATAGCATAATTCACCGTCGATTTTGTATACATCGGCTGGGCACCATTGACTACGACCATCACAATATTCCGGTAAATCACAAGTACCAGATTCATTACGACAGATAGTTCCAGAAGGTTTCAATTTACAATAAAAAGATGCTGATTGATTTACATTTTCCAGGGAATCATTTTTAATAATATCACAACATGGACCACCAGCGCACTGAGAATTACCACGTAATCGACAACGTACTGGGTCACAACAGGCTTGCCACTTTTCTGGACATGAAGTTCTAAAGTATAGTTTATTTTAAAAAAGTTAAAAGTGATACAAATTGATGTAAAATGAAAAAAATTAATTTTATGAATTTATGCATATTGAAGAAATAATGCATGTGAGCTAAAATGAATTAACGTCATCTGGGGTACAACTACGTTACGTTCTGCGGTTGTTCTAATACATACGGATATATACGCTTTTTATACTGGGCCCCGACCAGGTGAGTATTGAAACTAGAAATGAATAGGATACTCAATATGAAGACGGAATCTATTTTGCATACAACTCACTATTATATATATATATATATATATATATATATATATATATATATATATATATATATATATATATATATATATATATATATATATATATATATATATATATAGGAAATTGAAGCTAGACCGCCAAGGAAAATCTGGAAGCACTGAAGTACTGATGGTCTAGCTTCAATTGACTCATGATCTCTACCATTGAAACCACTATAATATCCAAAAAAACCCTTCTAATGTGAAATTGTTGGGAAGTAGACAGTGACGAGCGAAAATAAGAATTAAGAAAATTGAGACAATACTAATTCAAATAAGTGAGTTAAATTATTTTCTGTTCCAAATCTTGCGCTCCACTATCGATTGTTTTTTATCTGTCTATCCTTTTTCATTTCTTTTCTTGCTCATCATAGGTTAGGACTCTGGTTTCAACCGTTTGTCACTAAAGTCAGTGGTTTCAAAGATAACACTCAATTATGACTATCATTTAGATGGATTGGTAGACAGACAACCAAGAAGAAAAGTGTATCGATTTCAAAATGTCTCATTACATTGTAGACTAGTAGTGTTGATGTCTAGGTAACGAAACATCTCAAGTTTCTATGGTGATGACTCTTGGAAAAGTAATTTCGCTAAAGGCTTCTGGTGGAATTTGTATCGTGCAAAAAAACTTCTAAAACTCACTAAGTATCACGAATTCACATCTTCTACTCTTAGCTGATTTTTTCCGTTCACTGTGATGTTGATGGAAAATTAATATTAGTTGTGTTAAAAAATGAATGCGGATAATTACAGGGATTATACATGGTAACTATTCTACGAATGATAGGCATTACTAAAAGACCAAATAATTGATCGGTGGATAAATCAAGTATATTGAATTGTTGGCTGAAATGTGTTTCACACTCGCCAGTTATTCCATTTCCCATTGGTGTCTGAAGTTTTGTTAGGCTATATAAATATATAATCCAACAATAAAATCCAATGAAGTTCACTTTAAGCAATAACTGCTACATTCCTTTGAAGTATGGATCATTAAAATTAATCGAATTACTATTTTGATTTCTTTAATATAAATTATTTTTCTATCCAATTATGAGTGATGGTACTTTAGCTAATATATACACAGACATGCACGTTCCTACACTGTTTCAAATTGTTCACAGATTTGAACAATTTATGTAAACAAAAGGGGAACAGATCAAACTATTGAGTCATTTAAAGTATACTAGAGTTTAAAACAATTCAGTCCTTCAGGTTTCTTCTTATTTATTTGTTTTCGGATGGTTTGAATTGCTAAACACATAGTGGCCTATGCGAAGGAATTTCATTCCTTTTAAGTATCCATCAGTAAAGTGTAACGTTAAAAAGACGAAATGATTGGTTAACTTGAAAAGATTTGGTGTAAATATCCAACTAACCACTCGATTTCCAGTGCATAGTATAAAAGACAAAACTGAAAAGTATTTTTTGGAGATCAGAGGAATTACAGACCTAGAATATTTATGGATATTACCACTACTTAAAATTCATTTATGATTCACTGCACGTTGGTAACTTGTTTTAAGACGAACAATCCGAAAATTCAACGAAACAACGTGGGTTGTGGAGGTAAATCAGTTTAGGACCGATGACGATCATGTTACATCAAAAATTAAAAAATGCAGAACATTGCATTCGAAATTAGGGATTGATTCCTATCACAATCACCAGTCTCAGCCTCGATATAATATAATATGAAAGATCTATGCTGATGGGTACTTTCGAAATGTGATGAAGGAAGTATATAATGTTTTCTGATTTTTAAAGGTTTCGTTAAACAGTTTCCAGTCTATTATGAAACAACTTTCAAACTATTTATTCAAACAAAATATCCAAACAAACACTCAGCATTCGATATAAGTTTGAATACAAATGCATGCAATCATTGTACAATTACAAAACACTGAACGACTCAATTTATACATCAAATAATATTTTACTAAGAAAGAAAAGTGGTATGATTCTAACTGAATAAAGTTATCACAATTAAATAGCATTGTTAACTAATACTGATATATTTGCATCCACTGAAGTGAGCAATGTTGAAGTTGGGTTAATGAGGATGTGAATCTTCATCGACCAAGTTGAATAGAACATCTGTAATGATCGTCAAACTACCGTTTACCTTGACTAACAATGTTTGATGGTGTAGGAGTAGGTTTAAAGAAAGTTAGGGGAGGCCATATCAAGACTTGGTATCACTCCGTAAAGTCAGTGATGGCTAAACTGACTTATGCTGGTACGTAAAGACTACCTTGATTGGAGTGTGCGTGAATTAACTGTTTTAGAAACTCAACTCGCTATGCTGATTCGATGTGACGAATTGAACAGGTTTCACCTTTATTAAGATTAATGTATCTGCATTAAATAACAATGTAGATAATTTTTTACGAAATGGAAAGAACAATAATATAAAAAATGACCTGGCTTAACTTACTGTGTACCACAATCACATTCTTCACCAGGATCCAACACCCCATTTCCACATAATCCATTTGCATATTTCTCAACAGATGAGGCAGAATGACGTTGTCTTATAGTTAATACACGACTAACTGGAATTCGTTTCGCTTCACTTTGCCAATCATAAATATGTACAACACTTGGAATACTTATATTATTATTATCATTATTGTTATTCTTTCTATGTGTAGATGTTTTAGAGTTTGGTACGAAAGAATTAATTGTTACACTCCCACTAGCAGGCAAATCATGTAAACAAACACCCATTCCATAGTTTAATAGACCTGGTAAATCTCTTATAGAACATGGTGACCATTTCATAACTGTTGTGCCAAATCTTTGAGGTGAGAAGCGAAAAAAACAATAATAATGAATATTGAGTGATATCATAAATTGGAGAGGTTTATTTTTACGTAATCCAGTCGGATGGGAAAAAATGTAAACAAGAGATTCAGGAGTGGAGTGGCTGTAACTGAGTAAATGAGAGATTCACACTATGTTTGGACATAATGTTCTAGGTAGAGGTGGTGAATAGGTTGTTGAGACCTTGCATTACCATCGGTGAAGTTGGAGGGAATATGAGTAACATATGGCTGATCACTGCCTACCTCGACGTCTATTACTGATTATTGTAGGGGTACATGTAAAGAACGAAGAAGGCAGTTTAACTGGGAAATGGAATCAATCGATGAAGTCGGTGACCGTTAATCTGAGGTGTAATGGCAGATAAACATTGGATTGTTGAGGACAGCGTGAAAATCATGATCAGTGGTAGTAAACTTAGGGTGAAATAACTTAAAATAAGCAAATCGACAGAGGTAACTTCATTCGACATTTCCACCAAGGTTCTAATTTTGGACACGTTTATGATGTAGATTTCAATCGGTAAACTTAAATTTGGATGATTATCAACTACTAGCAGCCTGTCACATATATAAAAATCTGTATTACAAATAGAATTTGTAAAAATGAAGCCAATCACAAGTCAACGTGAACATGTATCGGTAGGGTTTTAGCAAAACTACAATCCAATAAAAGTTACGAAGACCGAATACAGTGTAACAATAATAAATGTTATATTTAAATGACATTTTCTGAAAAATCGATTAATGTAGTAACAATAGTAACACACAACTTAATACAAGACGTTGTGTAATTCCATAAATGAGAACAAAAGTTGATGATAGATAAGTACAGAATAGGTTATGATATAACCGGATCAAAAGTCAAAATTACATTCTTTTACTCATTATGATTTTTGTTCAACGTTACTTTCGTTTTAATTAAATATGATGATTACTCAGTGCAGTATTTGTTTCTGTTTTCCCGTATGACATTTTATTCTGTATAACATACGATATTCTTGCAATAAAAATTGACATGAACTATGGATCAGCATAACACAACATCGTATGATTTCCATAATCCAAGCTTAAGTATATAAATTCATGTTTGAATCAATCAGAAATTAATTTTAGAGGTATAGGGTTTTGCAGACTGTTGAGTTACAATGAAATAATGAGCCAATTAATGTTCGATTCCTGTGTGTGAAGTCGTAAATGTGAACTACTGAGGAATCCTATATCAGGACGAAGCGGCAATCCGGTGTTTCTGGATTTTCAACGGTAATCTAATATTGATCGACTCAAGGCTTCATTGAAGCTGAACAATCTTCGTAACCATATACTTACATATTGTCAAGTGGATCTAGCAATGGAAACTATTAACAATTTGTTCATAACGAACAACAAAAAGCAACTTCAGGATGAGCGTAATGACTACTGGTGGTTGTGTTCTTAGTTTCAATAAATACATCTAAATTCCTACTCTTGAATAATATATCGTCCTAATGTTCGTTTATTTCCAGATATATTACAATCGATATCAGTCCATGATAAAAAGAATATATCCTCGAAAGTGTCTCTATCTAGCAAATGATCAAAATGAACTAATAATGAGTTGATATATTTCACAAAGAAACTATCAAATTGAAGCAAATAACACCTTTAGCATTATTTATTTCACCAAAAACATAAACCGAACTTAGCCAATACAAAGAATGTTTGTAATCTCTCTCTCATGATCATAATCATGGACATTGTTGTCAGAAAAAGTAACCTTGGAAACCACGTGATACTTACATGTTTGTGAAAATATGATTATTATGACTTAAGAGCATCGTAATAGGTAAACAATTACAACCCACCATTATTTAGGCATTCATATTTAGACTTCATATGTGGACATGCTAATAGTGAATTTGGAAAGTACACACATGCATAAGTAAGGGTCTATAAGAAATTTCTTTCTTTTTTTTTCTGAAGATAACAAAAAGGGACGATATTTTTGTGGTGGTATAAAAACCTAAGATATACTAAGTTGTCTAATAAGACAGTTATTTATTCGAACAACCAAATAAGTCGATGGACATTAAGGAGGAAATCAAATACAATATGAAAAAAACAAGTCTGTGATCTTGACAAGAAATAGCGCAATGTAAATAAAACGCAAACCTGTAAACAAAACACGTTATTAAGAAACGTTGACAGTTTATAATTATGTCAAAATACTGATTTTTAATTCCTGTAAATTAACTTATCACAGAAAAAAAGTCGACGAAAGAGTCTTCTGAGACAATAATACGAAAGACAGTGACAACGATCAGCATAGTGTTGATACTTTGAATTGTTGACTTGGGAATCTTTCAAGTAGCAAGGTTGTGTAATTTCCTATTGTTGATCTTCAGGACTTCCATTAACCAATTTCTACATTGTCATATGGGTTGTTTGAGAACTCAGTACTATTGCTTTCGTTTATCAGACGTTATCGGTTAGGCTCCTGAGCTTAGATAGTCACAAACTGTTTTGCATATTAAGAACGAGACATTACGCACTCTTACGTATAAATTCATACCCAACGAACCAGTTAGTAGACTCAGTAGCCTAGTGAATAACGCGTTGATGTTTGCAGAGGTAAGTAGTGGTTTCAAGTTACAATATGAACATCGACGTTGACAAACAGACAAGGACACGACGAGACAAAAACAACAAAATCGATGGAAATAGTGTAGTAGCAATGATAAAATGAAAGATAAACCTTGAGAACATGACTTAGAAAGACATGGTGAAAAGTATGTATGATGGGATACTGGAATTCGAAATGGAAAGAAAGATAAGGGGTGAATGGGATCTGTTCTATCGCTAGCGACAACAGCTGTCAAGCAGATGAACTTCAAGTGCAATTTATTAATCAAAAATAAACAAATATAATTCACCAATGAATAGTACTTACTCTACACCAGTAGCCATTATACAACCTTGACATTCACATTCTTCAGTATCATGTCTTAAACCGAAATTATGTCCAAGTTCATGTGCGATAGTGCGAGCTGTTTCAATAATATCAAGTGTTGGTGATACCTAAATAAATACATACAACAACAACGAAAAATAAGTAGATAAAATATCCATATTTTTATTTCTAGATAAAATATTTTATTTATTTACTTTTGGTCACAATCAACACAATTGTCAGTTTTTTTGTTTTGCAAACATATTATCATGATGAAACTTTCAAGGTTCTAATAAGAAGCTGTAAACTGTGAAGAAATTAAAACTCTATAATTAAGTGGGGCAGTAGTTAATTGACTATGAAATCGGTTAGTTAACTCTTCTTCAGAAGTATTGAGATGGTTGAGAGACTAAAAAATTAGTGGTACAATCTCTTATAAGATTGTGAACTTTACCAAAGTAAACTAAAACAGCTTCATTATTTTTATAGTGAGAACATTATCTCTAAGCTGCATAAAATCTCCTTGAAAAAGTAAGGTAATAAATAAAGGCAATTTAAGTGATTTTGATAAGTTTATATTGTAATGTAATTGGTTTAAAAAGATTTTGGAATTTCGCAGTCTACATCATGCATCTACATTTTTAGCGACCCGTTGAAAATCAAGAAGCTCTTTAGTGGGATTTTAGATACTCATTGCTGAAGAGTCTGGTACTAAGACGAAACAACTTTTCAATATTGCCTCATTTTCAAGGGTTGTTGCCTAAGTATGATCATTTCGTGTGATTCAAATTACAAAATGTTCAAATACATACATATAAATATTGCAGACCATATGATGAGAATGAGTCACTGAAAGAAGGTCGAAGACGTAAAATAAACTAGTTGTAAGGATTATTGAACTTGTTAATCAATTGAATGCATCACGATAGATCATCATGTCTAATAACAGCACCAAATACCAGTACATTATATGACTCAGTCAGCAAATATGACTGATATGATAACCAACTAATGAACCGAAAATTCAGAGAATTACTGAGTTAATTAATCATTAATTAAAGAATTATTGAAAGAATAATGAAAAATTTTGTTCAAACTTACTCTACTGTAACCAACACAACGCGAATAAATACACATGGTCATGTGATTAGCTTTTCCACGTGTTCGTGAGCCTTGTTCTTTTGTACCTCTATGTTGTTAGGTCAATTTTTGTTTGTATAAGGAAAAGAAGAAACCAGAAATGAAAAGATTTTTTACGGAAAAATGTGAATTCACGTCAAAGTTTAAACAAATAAGTTAACTCGTATTTATATTATTAGATTGTAAAGAGATATAACAGCAACAAGTTTATCTACCTAAATCTATAACAGATTGAATTAAAATTAGGTTGGCATGAATTAGTCAGTCATAGATGACACATTAGTTTGGGCGGTTTCTAATTAATCAATAGATACGTTGAAGGTATGCAAAGTGGTTGTAGTCATTATCGTTTAGGCATTAATTAGTATTGTACTACACGACAATGGACACGAAGAATATAATTATTGTAAGAAGTTACAAAGTATTAATATAATACATTATACACTTGCATCATTCAGTTTGTTCTGTTATGTGAATTGTCTTCTCATCTGGTCTTCAAGTGTTCTGCCAACGCCATGCTTTCGCCGCTCCGAAACTCTTCACTTCATCTGATAATTATAACAACTTCGACGTTCTGTTCCGCTACACAATACTTACAAACAGTCTTGTGAGTAGCGTCCACTACACTATTACCATAATGGGATTTAGTATTAGTAGTAATAATAATGATAATAGCATTAGACGATAGTTTCATTAGCATCTTACTGACACATATTCACTTCGGCAAACTTTATCTACACTTATTTAGGCTGAATAAAACAGGTATGAACGTGTGTTTATTTTGTTCAATAATCAATAACAATTGTATTTTAAGTTGTAATAAGGTCAAATGGTTACTTTTACAAAAACAAAATTTTCATATATATACGATTGTACAGCTTGATAATAAATGGTTATTTGTTTAACCAGTAATGTGTGATGTCAATTAGATTGAATATTGATTCTCATCATTCACTAAAAAAGAACTGATTAGTTGAGATGAATTTGTATTATTTAAATAAGGAGGGTTTGTTGACTGACATTGTATCTGAATAAGATTAAATTATGGATAATCTCTAAAACCTATTTATGGATTGTTATTATATATATATATATATATATATATATATATATATATATATATATATATATATATATATATATATGCCTCGTGTTATAAGCTTTTATTTGACTTATGGGCTACTATTATACGGTTTACCATTAGTCACAGTCACTCACACTCAGACACTTTTAATGTGATCTTGTATAATTATTCTTCATTTTATAGTGTGTAGTCTGGTCTGCTTGCATATTTACTTCGCATAATTGAAATATACGATTCACACAGCGGAGGCTGATATTTGTGTTCTAGACTGAGCGGGCTAGGCTAGGCAAGAAGTTACTAATACAGAGGATCAATAAGGATTCAGAGTTGACGCAAGACTACTAGTGCTTGTTGACGTGTCATTGGTTTAGCACAGAGACAAAGTCATATAAATCGGTATACTGATTGGAAGTTTCATCACGTGATAATTGACAGGGCCATAGGACATAACAGAAATTTTGTATTCAGTCTACAAAGCATATTTAAGGAATGTATCACTCAGAGACATCTGTTAAATGAATAATTTTCACGGAAGTATTTAAACCTTATCATTTTTACTAATATCAAGTCGTATGAGATTTTGAAAAGCTTATCGAAATGAGTGGTTAGTTTAAAAGTATTATCACGTTATAAATATTTGAATAATACGATATAATGGTCAAGTGGTTCGAGAGTGTAATCGACGTTCAGCTATTGTAATGTCAGTTTGAAACACAAGTCATTAACTAGGGTGCAGGAAATCGGAAGTCCTATTTGATTTCATAAAATAGTATGTCAAAGTTTACATCTTTTATTCTAGACAACATCTACTGATTAAACGAGTTAAATAGAAGTATTTTTTACCGATACTTATAATTAGCAACAATAATAATAATGTACTGTAGTGTTTGTTGTTTAGTCTGTCTTGCAATCAAATAGTTCATTTCAGATAGATATATGTACGTATGATTGGATTTTTAGAAATAAATACTAAAATTTCGAATAATAATAATAATAATAATAATAGGTATTACTGATAACACACTACTGAGATGACTCATCTGTACAGATAAAGCTTTAATGAACAAAAATATTCACATACATGTGATGAAACATTACATTACGATCTGGATATTAGAATTAATCATGTCACAATAGTAACTACTATTTATCAATACATCAGATTGATCTGTATAAAACTATGAGCAAAGATGGATGGTAGTTAGTGGTGGAATCCAGGATGCGCGTCTCGTCAGATGGATGTACGTGCATCTCAAAGTTGATGTTCACTTCTGGACTCAAACCCAGAACCGTTCGCTTCAAACGCTATCGCTTTATCCACTTAGCTACCAAGTCCTGACAACCACTTGCTTGTGTAATGGGGATGCAGGTACATCAAGCTGACGAGCCCCAAATGGGATGAAACACGCATCCAGGATCCCGCTGCTAGCCACCATCCATGTTTATTTATAATGCTTGTGACTTAAGGCAATATCAAGGCAGTCGGCACAGGATGCACATATGCCAATAAGAGACTGGTCAATTGCGGTCTTAAACATCAATGGGAAGATTCGAACAAACAATACCAAATGTGCAAAACTAGTTTTCAATGACTAACAGATATGGTCAAAAAATTTTTAGCTTAGGGCGGAATTTTCCGTTCAAATTTATTCAATGCTACGAATAAAAAAAGATGTTACAGATCCAGGTGAATGTATGAGCTTCAAGTAATTCGAACGGTAATTTTAACTAATGATTGGAGATTTTCGTGTGAGATGACTGAGAATCTGTCACAGTGGCTTAGATGTATGAATTAGTAGTTTTCTCTTAGATTTTGAGTTTTGAAACCATTTTATATTTGTTTTATTAAACAAATCCACTCTTCTTTCTAACACTATATTGTAAATACTTAGTCTCTTTTACTACTAGTGATATTATAACTGTAATGAACGAGAACACAACCAATGGATTTTATTACAAAATTACAGAGTATCCCGGTAGAATGTAAGAACCATATATAAAATACTTCACTTGTAAATTTTCCACACTTATGTCTGTCGACACAAGTAGCATACACTACATAACTAATTCACCTACTCTGGAATTGGTCATGATAATTTCATCTAGTTATTATGGCAAAGTGATGGAAACTTGAACTGACGTACATATGTGTCAGGTTCTACAATGCTTATTGATTGATTGGCTGACTAACTGATATTTTACATAAATATTTAATAATCATTGAATTAGTCACCATATGAAACAATAACAAAAACACAACTAGATGTTAGAATACTAACTTACAATAGAGCATGCAAGCAATCATGACGCACATTAGCATACATTCGTTTAAACTGAGCTAATGCAGTGAGCAGATGATGTTCTTCAACTTTTAAACTAACACGATCCTGTTCCCAAATTTCTAAACGAACAATAACTGTTACAATGTTGAATGGAGCAAACAACTGGAATCGAGAAAAAACAAGCAAGAAATTATTTGAAAAGAAAATAATTAACCATACGATATGCGTGTACAAGCATTAGTCGGATAAATCTTATGTTGTCCATCACAAATTGAGTATAGGTTTATGCATTCGGTCACGTACTTAGTTTGAGATTTATTATTATTATTATTATTATTATTATTATTATTATTATTATTATTATTATTATTATAAGCTTTATTCAATATTATATTTTTGGTACAATATAGAATTCTCAGCAACAAGTTTCCGTTTCGTACTTCTTGGTCGATCTTGACGATAAATATTAAGTGATCGCCAGTTACATGTTAGCAGTCCAGTAAATGAACATCTGAATAATGTATATTCTTCTCTCTGCATATTGCCAGCGACCACATTATCTTCTATTGGGATTTTGTAACTTTGACAACGAAAGGTTGTACACCTTTCAGAAATGCGCCAGAATAGGTTGTGCGATTAATAGACATAATGATATATTAAAAGAAACAAAAATAGATAACTTGTTGAAATGTCTAGATGACAGGAACAGATAGCCCAGATGCTCAAGCAGGCCGCCTTGAGATACTCTGACTGCCTACAAGTAGATGAAGAGGGGAGTGTAAATAAAAGACTTATCATTGAATTACTACTTATGATATAAATTGCTAGATCACTACCCGAGAGCTTTAATCGACAAAGGTATATTTTTAAAATGAACTAACTATGGTAGGTCATTAAGTAATCAAATATATGTTTATTAGACTCATATATATTGGATAAAAGATAGATGTATCACTGTAATGTTCAAAGCAAATTACATGGGGTAAGATTCGAGATTATAACTGATTGGTTCAAGAATGAATAGTTCTAAGAATTGGTTTTGTAGTGAACGAAAAAAGGCGGGGACGACTAAATGCATTTTAATACAAAATTACAGCATATTCCAGTAGAACAAAAGAACCATACATAAAATACTTCATTTGCAAATATTCCATCAACTGTTCTTTACACTCTGTATGGTTCTTCCGATTCACAATTCCTTTCTAACTCCGTTTCTGTTTTATTCACTTCGATCGTCTTAGCTTTCTGCTGCCATGCGTCTCACTTCCGAATGGTGTTATATACTACTTATATCTGTCGACACAAGTAGCGTACACCACAATTTACGTATTATTTTAAGTGATATTTAACTGATTTCGTATTCAAATAATAAACAGAATAATTAAACAAACTCAACTGAAAAAAATCTGTGTTATCTATTTAATGTCGCAATACTAATATTGATAAGATAAATCCAATAACGATAAAACTATTTATTTGGAATACTCTTAATGAACGAATTGTGATGATGAAATGATTTCGTTTAATACAATTTATTCTAGCATTAAAAAAATAAGAAAAACAATTATGCAAAATGCAATTATTGAATCTAGACGATCTAAGTTGTGATTGTATATTGAGAGAACAATATGTGTATTGTGCATCTAACCTTAACATTGCCAATAGTATGTAATCATCATACATAAGAAATGCTTTAAAGATACTATTTCAATACTTATTTATCTAAAGTCAAACCCAAGACACGAACTATTTTCAGTTTCAAAATTATTTGAACCGAATGTTAAAAGATGAAACAAAACACTACATACATCTTGTGGTCAAAAATTGATTATTGAATTAGCTATACATAACAACCGGTTAACACAAACTTCTTTATCCAGAAAAGAAACAAGGAATGTGGACAAAAATCGTCTGAATTTCCTGTAACAAACTCGAACTCAAGTGAATAATAAGCCGTGTTTTTATTTTAATGAATTGATTGTGTGAAAATTGGGGGGGACAGTAGATAATAAAACATGTAAATATCGTTTACAAGAAAAAAGCATTAATGTATTCTGAAATTAATCAAAAGCACTTCAGAGCATTTCGCAAAATGAAATACAGAAATAAATCGATAAGGAACAACGCATAAAATTTCCCTTCTATAGTTTACGGTCTAATTTTAAGTAAAAATTAAACTATACAAATTACATAAGTCTTTTTTACTTGAAATGTCAATCTGAATTGAAGCTGAAGTGAAACTTATGTATTGTTATTATGTTTTGTTGTTTCATTTCCATAACAAATTGAAATAAACCGAGAATGAATTAAAGGTTTTATGAATAAATGGGTGGTGCATATGTATTCAGTGGCCCTTTTTACCAATATTTATGCATCCGAATAAATAATAATTTCATTGATTAAAAAATAAAATGATCGAACTGTATTATTGGTTTTTTGAAAATGACCGAGTAATACATTGTCTTTTCTTAAAAAATCAACAATGTCACTCACATTTAGTTTGAATGTCAACTGAGATAAACATTAACTATATCAGTAAAAAGATAACCTTATGGAACTTTCTTCGACACCATAGTGTACCTGAGACAATCGTCAACATCATTCTAGACCTTCCATAACAAACGCACAAGCAAATGCACGTCAAGACAGCCAATGTGGCGGAAGCCTCTGTACCAGTAAGCCTCAACATACACAAGGGAACAAGCAAGCAAGATCTTCAAACACAACACGGAGAACGCCAACCCAATACTACTTGATAGAGAAATTCCGAAAGAGGTGGAATGTTTCACGTATCTGGGTAGCATCATCAATGAACAGGGAGGATCCGATGCATATATAAGGACAATAGTTGGCAAAACAAGGACAGCACTCCTACAGTTGAAGAACATATGGAACTCGAAACAATTGTCAATCAATATCAAAGTCACAATCTTCGATGCGAACGTAGAGACAGTTCCATTGCACAGAGCTGAAACTTGGAGAACTATCATAACCATCATCAAAAACGCACAAGTATTTATAAGCAGTTATCTACGCAAGATACTCAATGTCCGTTGATCGCATACCGTCAGCAACAGCCTACTATGTGAGGGAACAAACCAGCTTCCAACTGAAGAGGAAATAAGAAAAAGACGTTAGGAATGGATAGGAAATTACCAAACTGTATCAAGAGGCAAACCCTAACTTGGAATCTTGAAGGGGAACATAAAGGTGGAAGGTCAAAGGATACACTGCGTCGAGAATCGGAAGCAGACATCAGAATGATGAATACCGACTGGAAAAGGTTTCCCAGGACAGAGTTCCGTGGAGAATGCCCCCCACGAGGGGTAACAGGTGTAAGTAAGTACTATCAGTAGACTCGAAATAAAATCTGCACACTAAGTACAACACGCGTCGATACAATTGTAGTAGCAATGATACTAAGGAAGATTAAACATTAAAAATATAGTTTGAGAATGAAATGAAACGTAAAGACATGCGTAATGGAATACTGGAAGTCGTCAGCAAGAGGAGGATGAAAAATGACTGCATTTCGATCATAGGTGTGACTGATTCTTTGGTCATGCCACTCAATCTCTCCAATCAATGATCGCAGTTATTGAACAATGGGTTCGAATCCCGCGGGGCGGGATCGTGGGTGCGCACTGTTGAGGAGTCCCATACTAGGACGAAACGGCCGTCCAGTGCTTCCAGGTTTTCCATGTTAGTCTAGCTTTAACTGACTCATGATTTCAACAACTGAAATTCCCCCAATATTTATTGGCTGTTTATTAAAACTTCTGTAATAATTGTTACATCAACTTAAGTAGATAGTATTACTTAATGTGCAAAATTAATGAGCAACTAGACAAGAAAGTATTGCTAAATATATTCCCTAACGAATTGCACCGCTTAATATGAAAGAATAATTATGAAAAAATACACTGTGATCATATGACTTCTTGATAATTAAAATTTTATGACATCAAAATATTAACTGTAACCATTTCACAAATATTTAAAAAATCGGCAATGTGTGTGTAATTAAAGTTAGTTTAGATATGCAAATTATCACGTAAATATCTTTGCTCAAAGTTTCAGTTATACATAATGAGGCGATTTTAATAAGTGTAATATGAACTACTAAAATCTACTGTAATTTTCACAATCATCAAACACAAAAAGGATACTTTATCTTTTTTAAATATTAGTGAATGAGAACTGAAAATTACTATATTCACAGATAAGCTTTTCAGCTGAATTATCTAAACTTTGACAACCGTTAGAAAGTGCTTTCAAAAAAATATTATGATGGATTTTCGGTCACCCGTAAAATGTAGAATGGTTGAAGGTTTTGAAGAATTACTGAACTAGAATGAAGGTTGTAGTTGTTCAATTTAGCTCGGTATCTATTTACTTTGATTTCTACACAGAGTCCATCAAAATGTTTCTTGGAGAGAGTGAGAAAAAAAGACCAAACAAAAGAATGGGTTAACGTAATAATTACCTCATATTACCACAAAAGAGCTTTGAAACAATTTAGAAGGATCCTAAACCTAACATTAATAACAGAGCATTTTTCCGAACGTACAATAGATACCCTTAATTCTATGTTCATAGCGGTCAGAGACACAGTACTAAGAAAACATAAGTGTGTCAGTGAAACCAAACACACTAACTACAGTGCTGTATACTGTAGATAAGGCTTCGCAACAGTTAAATGTGAGGATGAAGGAGGGAAAACTATGTTCGAAGCATATTCCTAGATTTTAAGGAAACGTGAAAATAAATCGGTGACAGAGTTAAATGTTGTTGAAACATGACACATAATTGAACTTGGATGTAATGAAATACTTCAAGACTGTTTTGGTTCTCATAAGCAAAAAATAACAGCCGAAGCCTGGCATATTTGGGCGGACTCAAATAATTCAAATAGACGGGATAGAGTATAATTAGCTACATGGTAATATGTACTGATTGATGAGTAAATAGAAATTTAATCTAGTACTATTTCTTCATTGAATTTCATATAGAAAACAACTATGTAGATCTGCATACAAATGCATTCACTACTTCAGTTATTAAAATTTGAAAAGTGACCTATTCACACGTTAAAATGGATAATCATCATCTACACACAATCAGACAATCTGTTTAGTGCCGGCTCAGTGGTCTAATGGTTAAGTGCTCGCGCGCGTCCCATACTAGGACGAAACGGCCGTCCAGTGCTTCCAGGTTTTCAATGGTGGTCTAGCTTCAATTGACTCATGATTTCAAGTAGTGCATAATTGTTTTGTGAATAATATTTACATTCGGTAATTTTGATTTTTTATTAATTCGTTAAAGAAGTTCCAACCAGACTGCCATTCAAAATGTTTTAGTTATTTACATCTTAGTAGCTGAGATTTTCAATTTAATATCCTTTAAACAAAATCTGTGGTCTGTTTGAATCAGGATATCTACGACAGTTTATCTCAAATTTTTGGCAAATTGTAAAGCCTTTAGAATATAATAGGATTTGTTTGAATCATAATTTAGTCATGTACAGCAAATATTTTTTAATTATCTTGGCAACGAGTACTGTTAACAAATAATTGTATGGTGGAATGTCATTTTTCGAACCACTCATAATATTTACTTGAGCTCGATATAAGAATCAGTAAAATAACATACTAAAATGAATGTGCCCAAATTACAGTCTACGCTCATTTTAGTATACACTTTTAATATGAGTAGATAACAAGGCACTCATGACTTATGGGTTTATGGTTATTGGCATTCGTCAGTAAGATATACTTGCAACCAATGT